CTGAGCACTCATGGTAAGATGTGCTTGAGTGTTGATTATTATGGATGTGGCATTTCTTGTCCGGGGATCAGTGACTGTGTGTGTTTGTGTGTGAGCGTGGGTTGGTTTTTCTATCCTTGTGGGGACCTAAAATCCCCACAAAGTCCCCACAAGAATAGTAAAACAAGGAAAATTCTCCCTCGTGGGGACAAAGGCTATTTTAAGCTTAGGGTTAGGATTACAATTAGGGTAAGGGGTTTGTGGTTAAGTTTAGGATTAGGGTTAGGCTTAGGTTATGGTTAAGGTTAGGGTTAAGGTTAGGGTTTGGGTTAGGCTTAGGTTAGGGAAAATAGGACTTTGAATGGAAATTAATTTTAGGTCCCCACGAGGATAGAAAAACTAAAATGTGTGTGTTCACTCAGGGTCCATTTTCATGTGATGTACTGCGGGACAACCCTCATATGAATCCTACTCTGCATCTGTCTATAGGAGAAACATAGAAGGAAGGCAGAGAAGGAGAGAGAGCTAGACACCATTGCCCTAGAGCAGTGTTTCCCAACCCTGGTCCTCCAGTACCCCCAACAATTAACATTTTTGTTGTAGCCCTGGACAAACACACCTCATTCAACTCATTGAGGGCTTGATGATTAGTTGACAAGTTTAATCAGGTGTGCTTGTCCAGGGCTACAATGAACATGTGTACTGTTGGGGGTAATCGAGGACCAGGGTTGGAAAACACTGCCCTAGAGCGCACAAAGAATTATACCTACCTCGGTTTAAACATCAACACCACAGGTAACTTCTATAATTAGCTCTCACAGTCTCAGACGTTCTTCCATGTTGTCAAATATCAAATTTCGAAGTGTTTAAGATAACGTTTAGGCATTATCTCTGAATTTTTAAGTTTAGGGCTAAGTTTAGGCAAGTAAGGGTTAAGGTTTGGGATAGGGATTTGAACTTGCAACCTTTGGAATCAGAGGCAGATGCTTATGCCCATCCGCCATTCCCACCCTAGCAAAACCGAATCCTACTTGAAGGTAACAGCGCTCACTGTTGCCCCCCAAGTGGCCAGTTTGCATGTTATCTCCTGACGTCCTCAGACATGGATGGGCGTCGAATACTGACTTGTATCTCGGGTGACCTGGCTGAACTTCTACAAGGCTGTGAACAATCTAAGAGAGAAGGCAAGAAGGGCCTTCTGTGCCATCAAAATGAACGTAAAACTCGACATCCCAATTAGGATCTGGCTAAAAATACTTAAATCAGTTATAGAACCCATTGCCCTCTATGGTTGTGAGGTCTGGGGTCCACTCACCCACCAAGAATTCCCAAAATGGGGCAAAAACCCAATTGAGACTTTGCATCCAGAATTCTGCAAAAATATACACCTACAGAGAGATGAACCTGGAGAAGAGTCCCCTCAGACAACTGGTTCTGGGGCTCTGTTCACAAACATAGGGCCCTATAATTAATAATTTACGTTTAGTTCTTCCCCAAATTCCGTTTTCTCCGTTGAGTTTTTCCAGGTTTCCTTTTCCCCCTGTTTTTTTAGGTTTCCGCTCTCAAAAGTACGTTTTAATAGAAAAACAATTAAATTGGATGTTCTAAATCCACAGCAATGCTTAAACCACATCAGGAGACCACTTTTGAGTTTTTTTATTTTATTTTTTAATTTTTTTGGGGGGGGGTTACCCTTTAATTCCAATGCGCACCTAGCAAGAGGCTGTTGCTCAGTGGTGTTTTTGTAGTGTACATGTGATGGTAGAGTTTGCTAAACAAATACCCACTAGATTGATGCATGATAATCATGATATAATTCTGCCAGGTAAGTATAGGCTACTTTGTTAACATTTCATTGAGAAGGTTTTTGGGGAAAGCCTTTCCATCTACCAGAAGATTTTTCATTAGCATCATCACTAACGGCTACACAAAGTGGTAGCTGCAAGCCAGAGGAGGCTGGTGGGAGGAGCTATAGGAGGACATGCTCATTTGAAATGGCTGGAATGGAATTAATTGAACGGAATCAAACATCTGGTTTCCATATGCTTGATACATTCCAATTTATTCCATTCCAGCCATTACAATGAGCCCGTCTTCCTAAAGCTCCTACCACCAGCCTCCACTGCTGCAAACACCGCACATGCACAGATAGGGGGAATGCTCGTTACCGTCTTCTTCTTCTTCTTCTTCTTCTTCTTTGGGTTTAATGGCGAACTACACTCAAAAGGTGTATTGTCACCACCAACTGGACAGGGGTAAAACATTTACAAAAGAAAAGTACATTCCATTCAGGGAAGGGTAAATGAACATGAATCCCCATACACTATAAAACTTTTTAAACAAACATATATACATTCCCACTCCTTCAGTCCTTCAAAGACTCAAATACCCTGCTCAGGTTCTGGGGCCTGAGAGGGTGGGACCGCAGGAGACAGTACTCCATGAAGCTCTTCAGATGTCAAATCTTTTAATCCCAGAAATATGCAGAAAATGTCAACATTTTGCTCCTTGGCCATTGTCTTCTACTAAATATGTGAAATCTCCTTTAATAGGGGTCTTTCTCACACATCCCACATCTCGGCTTCTCCCGTCTGCAGACACTTCTTACATGTCCAAACTTTTTACAGCAAGAACACAGCAAGAACAAAGGCCGGTTTACAAAAGCTTTAACAGGATATTACACATATTCCAGCTGCACTCGAGTAGGGAGAGACTCCACATCAAAAAACACTAGAACAGACTAACTCTTCTCCTTCCGGCCATTAACCATATGATTCATCCTCCGTGCAGCAACCACTCCTGGAATTTTTGTTTATAGAGCAATGTCAACATCCTCCGAGATTCCAGATATAACTCCCTTGACAGGTGCCCTGCACCGTAGCTCAAAGCATGATACACCATATCCATCAACTCAAATGACATCCAACACATTTTTTTACCAGAGAAACACAAGAAATCAGAACTAGCCCACTTCTCCTGATCTTCACAGATTTTACTTTACCCAAAGCTTTCTCCTTTCATTTTTCCACACCAATTTTGCTTATTTTTCCATTCTTCTGGACCAAAGTCCATTCATCCTTATTTCCACCGCCATGAGGTTCAAACTCCATATCCGCCATCTCCCGAAAGCGTCTCCCAAAATAAATTAATTAACGTGAATCAACCTAACCAGGCGCCCCTCTGGAGTGTTAAAATATGTTTCTCTGGAAAACGCTGACAGGGTCAACAAGATTTGTGACCCGTTGTCATGAGAAAAGAGCAACCAGTAGAACACAAACAACATTGTAAACACCACCAATATTTATCTGTTTATTTATCTTCCCCCACTATTGGTACTACAGCTATTTTTACATTGCTAAAACACTGTACATAGCTGATAATACAACACTTGAAATGTCTTGACCTTTTTTTTAAATATGTTTGAGTACAATATTTACTGTTAATTTCTAAAATAATTTTGTTGATGTTGTTACATTTGTTTCTTCTCAGTTTTGTTTATTGTTTATTTCACTTGCTTTGCCAATGTCAACATATTTTTCCCATGTCAATAAAGCCCCTGAGAGAGAGAGAGAGAGAGAGAGAGAGAGAGAGAGAGAGAGAAGAGAGAGAGAGAGAGAGAGAGAGATCTAAGAGGATTCTTCTAGGCACCAGAGGAGACCCTTTGTAAAGAGCCGGGAGGAAGAGAAGAGAGACGAGAAGAGGAAGGAGAGAGAAGAGAGAGAGAGACCTGAGGAGAGAGCGACGATGAGAGATGAGAGACTGAGAAGAGAGAGAACTGAAGAGAGCGTAGAGAGCAGTAGAAGCGAGAGAGAGAGAGAGGCATTGAAGGACGAGGAACAGGAGAGAGGAGACAGACAGAAGAGAGATGAACTTCAGTAGTCTCTCCTGCAGGGACGTAACTTCGCAGGTGCATTGTGAGAGTGATCGAACCAGTGATGATGACCGAGAAAGAGCAAGGATCATTAGTGCGAAAGAAGCCAGGCCGCGTGAGGATGAGGAGAGAGAGGAGATGAGGAGATGAGATCGAGAGAGGTGACATCCCCTACCCCCTGAGGCAGCTTCATCAGAACTACAGAGACGAGAGGAATGAGATGACAGAGAGAGAGAAGAGAGAGAAACAAGACTGAGCGAGAGAGACGAATGGGAAGAGAGAGAGAATAGCAGGAGAGGCGGTGAGATGGACCAACTCAGAGTCTGAATTCACAGAGGCATGACACTAGACGAGAAGAATGAGACGAGAACAATCCTTGGGAAGACGGCTATGAGAACAGACCAGACAGTATATGTAAGAGTGTCAAGCGGCAGACGAAAGACGAGAGCGAGGGGAGAGATGTAGAGAAGAGAGATCTAAATGACAGAAGATGCGAGGAGGAGGGAATGCAGAGAGGAGGGAGAAATCGAGACTGTTTCATCATCGCGCTGTGTTGAGCATGCCTGTGTTGACTTATGAGGAGAGTACACACTCTCCACAACATTGCTGTAGTAAGATGAGAAGTATTCGAACTCCGATGAGATTGGATTATGAGTATAAGATAGTAGGAGAGATAGGAAGAGGCATGCAGAAGGGGAGGCGATGGAAAGAGAGGAGGGAAAGAGAAGTGACAGAAGAAACTGTCTGAAGGAATCTAGGGGGCAGTACTGAATGGTGGAAGTGCAGTGATTAACTTATCGAACGGAAAAATACAGTGTCTTGTCTGTTGTGTTCTCTGACCTACTGCTGCTTTGACTTTCAGAAGATAATTACAAATATTATAATTTACAACCAAATCCAATCCATTGTGTTTGAGTGCTCACTCAGTAAGTACAGCAGAATGTTCTGAATATTATCAGATGGGTGTCTCCAAGGGCAGATAAAACCAGAGGCGAGGGACAGAGATGAAAGGAGAGAGATAACTGGAGAAATAACCTGAGCGAGAAAGAGAGCGAGGGAGAGAGAGAAAGCAAGGAGAGGAGAATGAATGACCCTCAGTCCTTTCACATCCGCAGCTGTACCATCAACACTCCTAGTTTTCAATTACATTATGACGACGTGACACACCCTTTCACAACCGTCTCCAGTTAGTAACAACAAACAATCTCCATCCATGTAGTACTTTGTGTAAGTCAGTTTCAAACTATACCAGATACTGTTTTAGAATGAGATACTGTACAAAGATGCATGATGGGGTCCAATGGCAGCATGGCCATAAGAGCTAGTGATGTTCAGTCTCTGATTCTGCAGCTTCCTCTTTGTCTTCTGAAGAGTTCTACTACTAGGCCTACTAATGTATGTAAATGGGATGGAGGTAGTGTATTTTCTTTCTTTTCGTTAATGAAACTACTTAGTCATCCCCTCTCCCTAATGCAGGTCTGTAGGCCAGTCTTCTTAGCCCTCAGGCTCAACAAACTGCTGCAGTCAGCACTCGGGGAAGGGCTGTGTGTGTTTGGATGGTGGCCGTGGTTCTTTGTATTACCATGTTTCAAATGAAAGTATGGGTGATCAAATAACTGTGTCTGTGTGGCGTCTTTGTTTTCTGTTTGTGTGTTGTTTAGGGTTAAGGTTAGAATTAGTGTTAGGGTTAGAATTAGGTTTAAGGTTAGAATTAGTGCTTAAGGGTTTAGGAATTGGTTTAGGGTTAGGTTAGATAAATTGAGTAGATTAGGGTTAGAAGGGAGGTTAGTGTTTGGATGGTTTAAGGTTTAGAATTAGTGTAAGGGTTAGAATAGGTTTAGGGTTAAAGGTAGAATTAGTGTTAGGGTATTGGTTTAGGTTTAGTGAATTAGTGTAGGGTTTAAATCGGTTAGAGTTAAATTAGTGAATATGTTAGGGTTAGAATTAGGTTTAAGGTTAGAATTAGTGTTAGGGTTAGAATTAGGTTTAGGGTTAAGGAGAATTAGTGTTAGGGTTAGAATTAGGTTAGGGTTAAGGTTAGAATTAGTGTTAGGGTTAGAATTAGGTTTAGGTTTAAGGTTAGAATTAGTGTAAGGGTTAGAATTAGGTTTAGGGTTAAGGTTAGAATAGTGTTAGGGTTAGAATTAGGGTTAAGGTTAGAATTAGTGTTAGGGTTAGAATTAGGTTTAAGGTTAGAATTAGTGTTAGGGTTAGAATTAGGTTTAGGTTTAAGGTTAGAATTAGTGTAAGGGTTAGAATTAGATTTAGGGTTAAGGTTAGAATTATTGTTAGAATTAGGTTTAAGGTTAGAATTAGTATTAGGGTTAGGAGCTAGGGTTAGTTTTAGTGTTAAGGTTTTCAGTTTAAGGTTAGGGTTAAGGTTAGGGAAAATAGGATTTTGAATGGGACTGAATTGTGCGTCCCCACAAGTTTAGTTGTACTAGACTGTGTGTGTGTGAGGGCACGTGTGAATTGATGAGTGTGTGCAGCTGCTCATATGGAAAGAACATGGGAGAGAGATTCTGGTGTGGTCTCAGAGGGGTTCTTATCTCTGTAGGTGGGAGTTTCTGTGTGTGTGTGGGCGGTGGGGGGGATTACCTCCTGAGGGGGGTTAGGAGGTTAGTTGGGGAGATGCACTACTGTTTTCGTTTGGTCATGGATTTTACCAGATTAAAAATATTTGTTGCCTTTACCAGATTAAAATGATTAGCTAAGTCTGCACTCCACATTATCTAGTTCAGTTCAAGTTCTTCATCAATTTTTTTTAGGCTCATCCTCAGCAGTAGCTGGTTGGAATGCTCCCAAATGTGTTTTATATGACAAAGTACCAACATTTTACCCTGATGGTGTGGCCATAAACTTGAATTGACCATACCTCTTCTGTATTTGTATAATGACATTATTTTAACCCCTAGTTGACAGTGTGTCTCTCCTGTATTGGTATGGAACAACGTTTTAAACCTTTATCCATAGATTGACCATCATGACCACTGTTTTAACCCCTCGTTGACCTCGTGTCTCTCTTCTCTCCTGTGTTTGAAGGATCCGTCCCCAGATGGCGAATGAGAAGATTGAGGGCTGTCACGTGTGTACGCTGGTCACGCCTGGGGAGCCCCAGGTGTTGCTGGGTAAAGACAAGGCCTTCACATACGACTTTGTGTTCGACATCGACTCAGCCCAGCAGCAGATCTATGCTGCCTGCGTCCACAAACTCATCGAGGGCTGTTTCGACGGATACAACGCTACAGTGTTTGCCTACGGACAGGTACTGAGAGAGAGACACAAACAGACACACGCTCTCAGATGTGCATAATACACACTGGCCTCTTTACACTACATTACTTTGATGACACATACTAGTCCCAGGAAATATACTTTTGTAGTGTAAAGAGACGGATCTAGATTCAAATCTTTCTTTGAGAGATGGTACCTTAATACCAGTAGACATCATTTTGCTCTGTTAGCCTAATTGAAAACGAAAGGCTTTTAAAATATCCACACATTTGTGAATTGTTGCATTAATCAAGTGTGCAACATTATGTGCAATATGGTTTAGATGAGAAGCTCCTGTATAGTTTGAATTACTATCCTTATTTTGTTTGTCTATATACTATGGTATTTACGGTATGCTAATATCTGCTCACACACGAAGCAGGAATGTGGCTTTAGTCACACCACATCCAAGGCTAAAGTAAGGATCGTGTAAAAAGAAAAGTTGTAAATCTGATGTTGAAGAGAGATAGATCTTACTACACACACACACACACACTGCTGAGAGCGGCTATTTCAAAGAAAGGTCTGTAACTTACTATACTTAGTTGAATGCACTGACTGTAAGTGACCAAAATGTAATTGTGATGTGTGTGTGTGTGTGTGTGTGTTATAAATAATGTATGTGTTATAAATAATATGTGTGCCTCTCTCTCTGTTTCAGACGGGCTCGGGGAAGACCCATACCATGGGGACAGGGTTTGATGTGAACGTGCAGGAGAAGGACCAGGGTATCATACCGCGGGCTGTTCATCAGCTGTTCCTGGGCATCCAGGAGAGAAAGATCCAGGCCCAGCAGCAGGGCACACATCCTCCAGAGTTTAAAGTCAGTGCACAGTTCCTAGAGGTAAGAACGCACACACATACAGTATGCAGGCACCCTCAAACACACGCAGTAGCAGCAGTAGACCCTAGAGTGGGATACTGTATCATGCACACACAGACACACACACACACACACACTTGGGCCACCCATCCAGCTCACTGTGAAGAATGGCAGAGGGGATGAAAAGCTCTCTAGAATAAAATATTGTCCTCCAGGGACGCATTGTCTATTGTCGTTTGTCATTCTTGCCTTTGATTGATTGAGTGTGTGCATGTTTGTGTGCATGTGTGAATTTTGTGTGTGTGAAGTAATATTAACTTTAACCAGATGTGAAGGGGATGCAGGGATCAGCCCTGGTGATGCTACAGGAAGTGACATCGTGATGAAAAACAGGATTCTGACGACTGATCTGATGTTTGTCATTAGCTGTGATGTTACCCAGAATGAGAATATGGACAGACAGACAGAAGTTTGGGAGACATGAGCTTATATGTGTCATTGACTTTAACTGGCTGTAGCAAGAGGTGCCTGGTACACACTCAGGTGTCTGGCTTTTAGTGAAGTAATATTTGATATATATGTATATTATATATGTACCTCACATGCGACCTGTGTTAATATGAACAAAGTCTATTAAAATGTTCATCTAACGCCATAAAGATTATTTAGCAATGTACAAGCAGGACTGTTGTTGAGTTACATGAATAGGCTATTAAGAAAGGTCTGAGAATTGTCTATGAAAGGTAAATAGGATTAATATCATTTTAAATGAATGATTCACATACAAGGCATAAAGCTTAAGTTACAAGGCAATACTGGTGAGGGAGGGAGCGAGGGAGCGAGGGAGAGAGGGAGAGAGGGAGAGGAACAAAAAAGGGAGAAAGACACAATGAAGCTCAGGCCCTTTTATAACCATTTGACCATGTTTGGATTCAAAGTCTGAGTTGTTGACCACTAGGATACTGTAGAAGTCAACTTCCATTCGCATCATCAGACCTACGGGATGTAAAGACAACAACACCTACTGCTTCCCAGAGGTGTGACAGAATGGGGGATGTGGAGAGAACAGCACCTACTGCTTCCCAGAGGTGTGACAGAATGGGCGGTGGAGAGAACAGCACAGATCATTTAGCATTCCTGAGAAGACAAAAGAACCCTTGCATACAGCGTTGAGAGTCACTTCAGGGGCTAGGGCCCCACTACAGGCTTGTATCTCTTAGCTCTATGTGTGTCTGAAGCGCCAACTGTGTATATTGCGTGCCGGGGGGGGGGGTCATTGTCTTGTTATTGGTAGGCCTGTTGAATGTATTGTGTACGAGTAGTGTGTGTGTGTGGGGAGGGATAATGTTGTTATCATTGAGGGGTAATAGTGTGTATTCGTCAGCCTGTCAGTCAGGCCTATACTCTGTTTTCTCTCTGAGGACTACAGACTACTACAGTAACAGACGACTAATATAACCTGCTGCATTTACTGCTCACTTTCTGCTTATCTCAAACTACACCTCTCTCTCCCATCCTCTCCTTCTCTCTATCTCTGTTTCTGTCTGTGTCTGTATCTCTCTCTCACTTTCTCTCTGTCTCTTCATCTCTCTTTCTCTCCCTCCCTCTCTCCCCCCCCCCCCCCCCCCTCCTGTGTGCTGAGGAGGTGACTCCTGACCTCTCATGACCTTTAACCTTATTGCTTCCTAATGGTCAGAGGTTACGTGCTACAACCTTTGATTCTTGCCCTTTCATCGCTCACTGTCTACTGTCTCTCTGTGTGTGTGTGTTTGTATTAGTGTGTGTTTGTATTAATGTCTGTGTGTGTGTGTGTGTGTATTCCAGCTGTACAATGAGGAGATCCTAGATCTGTTTGACGGAGCCAGAGACCCAGACTGTAAGAGCAGGAAGTCTAACATTAAGATCCATGAGGACAGTAGCGGCTCCATCTACACCACCGGAGTCACCTCACGACTTGTCAGCTCAGAGGAAGAGGTGTGTGTGTTAGTGTGTGTATATACGGTACTAACTGTGTGTGTGTGTGTGTGTGTGCTAGGGCTGGGCGATATGGACGAAAAATCATATCTCGATTTTTTGCAAACTTATGGGCGATTCACGATATACTGTATATCTTGATTTTAAAAAAATGTTTTCTCGAAATAAGCTTTGTTGTACAGTTAAAGGTGAAATACACTGCATTTCAAACAGTCAGCAATAACCTAATGAATTCAGGGCTTGTGAAATTATACCTAGGCTAAATGTAATCCTTCCACAACCATAAGACCCACTAATAATGTAATTATTTTTATCAAAATAGTTTGACCTGCTTTTTTGCAATAATCACTGTTCTGGCTTTCAAGTCTGTCTATGAAAATGCCCTTTTTGTTACAAATTTAACCAGAACCATGCATAATGCACATTCACTAATAATGACAAAAATCTTGTAGTAGGCATTATAGAAAATTAACACAGGTCTCAAACAATTTCTCAAGCACAAGCCCACGTGCTAGTGAGTAGCCAGCTAATCTTTTTATTTCAAGTTTCTATTTGCTAGTTAAGCAGGTAGAACATTGAATTATTATGAACACACCCTTCTGTCTGTCTCCAACTTCAAGTTTGAACAGCATGCTAGCCTGTCCTTTTTGTTCAGATCAAGTGAAATCAAGTGGTGTACCTTATTTCTCAGAATGAGAACGAGTTGTCAATTCCTTATATAATTGTGTTTTATGCTTATTGTACATTTATAAACACAGACTAGACAGCTAGTATAACATCCTTTGGCTTAAATGCTGTTAGCGGTATATGGTACCGCAGAGCCGCGTGCGACAAACTGAGCATACATTTTCCAGAATCAATGTTCATTGATACTCCCATTTTAGTAGTGTCTTCTCTGCGCGCAATTTGAGGAGTTGAGACATAAAAAGGGTATCATTAGAAAGGTTAACTTCTCCTCTATTACAGTAAAATTCTTTCTCAATGTGTTTTGGTGTCCATATGACCGATTCTGTTGGACCAAAGTTAAAATGCAAATAGCGAGTTGAAACTGCTTGTCAGAGAGGAAAAAGCGATTTCTCATCTTTGTTGTTGCGAGTGGCAGGGGGAGGGGCTTGGTGGTGTGTGGGAGGGGCATGGTGTGTGTGGGAGGGGCATGGTGTGTGTGGGAGGGGCTTGGTGTGTGTGGGAGGGGCTTGGTGTGTGTGTGTGTAAATGGGAAGGTGCACAGTCATAGCAGAAGGAGACCAAAAAGACAACATGAGAACAAGCGGACATAAATGCTCATAAAAACTAAACATTTAATAAAAATGAGGTTATTGCAATACAGGCATTTGGAAAATTGTGCTAAAACATACATTCAAATTAATCAAATAAATGTGATGTATTGCCCAGCCCTAGTGTGTACAGTACTAACAGTTTATGTATTACAGATGTTACAGTGTCTGAAGCTGGGAGCGTTGTCTCGTACCACGGCCAGTACCCAGATGAACGCATCCAGTTCCAGATCTCACGCCATCTTCACCATCAACCTCTGTCAGATGAGAGTCTGTCAACAAACTGAGGTAGGGGGGAGGGAGGGAGAGAGGAGGGTGAGGGCGAGGGCGAGGGCGAGGGAGGGAGTTATGGATCAGAGAGGTGGTAGTTACAGTGCTTATAGAAAGTCTACACCCCCTTTAACTTTTTTTTGTTCAAGCTCTGTCAAGTTCCTTGGGGAGCGTTGATGGACAGCAATCTTTAAGTCATGCCACACATCAATCAATCAATCAATTTTATTTTATATAGCCCTTCATACATTAGCTAATATCTCGAAGTGCTGTACAGACACCCAGCCTAAAACCCCAAACAGCTAGTAATGCAGGTGTAGAAGCACGGTGGCTAGGAAAAACTCCCTAGAAAGGCCAAAACCTAGGAAGAAACCTAGAGAGGAACCAGGCTATGAGGGGTGGCCAGTCCTCTTCTGGCTGTGCCAGGTGGAGATTATAACAGAACCATGCCAAGATGTTCAAAAATGTTCATAAGTGACAAGCATGGTCAAATAATAATCAGGAATAAATCTCAGTTGGCTTTTCATAGCCGATCATTAAGAGTTGAAAACAGCAGGTCTGGGACAGGTAGGGGTTCCATAACCGCAGGCAGAACAGTTAAAACTGGAATAGCAGCAAGGCCAGGCGGACTGGGGACAGCAAGGAGTCACCACGGCCGGTGGTCCCGACGTATGGTCCTAGGGCTCAGGTCTCTCAGTTGGCTTTTCATAGCCGATCATTAAGAGTTGAAAACAGCAGGTCTGGGACAGGTAGGGGTTTCGTAACCGCAGGCAGAACAGTTGAAACTGGAATAGCAGCAAGGCCAGGCGGACTGGGGACAGCAAGGTGTCAGCATGCCCGGTAGTCCTGACGTATGGTCCTAGGGCTCAGGTTCTCAGAGAGAAAGAGAGAACGAGAGAATTAGAGAGAGCATACTTAAATTCACACAGGACACTGGATAAGACAGGAGAAGTACTCCAGGTATAACCAACTAACCCCAGCCCCCCGACACATAAACTACTGCAGCATAAATACTGGAGGCTGAGACAGGAGCGGTCCGGAGACACTGTGGCCCCATCCGAAGACTCCTGGGCCAGACTACACTCAATCATATGACCTACTGAAGAGATAAGTCTTCAGTAAAGACTTAAAGGTTGAGACCGAGTCTGCGTCTCTCACATGGGTAGGCAAACTGTTCCATAAAAATGGAGATCTATAGGAGAAAGCCCTGCCTCCCGCTGTTTGCTTAGAAATTCTAGGGACAATTAGGAGGCCTGCGTCTTGTGACCGTAGCGTACGTATTGGTATGTACGGCAGGACCAACTCGGAAAGATAGGTAGGAGCAAGCCCATGTAACGCTTTATAGGTTAACAGTAAAACCTTGAAATCAGCCCTTGCCTTAACAGAAAGCCAGTGTAGGGAAGCTAGCACTGGAGTAATATGATCAAATTTCTTGGTTCTAGTCAGGATTCTAGCAGCCGTATTTAGCACTAACTGAAGTTTATTTAGTGCTTTATCCGGGTAGCCGGAAAGTAGAGCATTGCAGTAGTCTAACCTAGAAGTAACAAATGCATGGATTAATTTTTCTGCATCATTTTTGGACAGAACATTTCTGATTTTTGCAATGTTACGTAGATGGAAAAAAGCTGTCCTTGAAACAGTCTTGATATGTTCGTCAAAAGAGAGATCAGGGTCAAGAGTAACGCCGAGGTCCTTCACAGTTTTATTTGAGACGACTTTACAACCATCAAGATGAATTGTCAGATTTAACAGAAGATCTCTTTGTTTCTTGGGACCTAGAACAAGCATCTCTGTTTTGTCCGAGTTTAAAAGTAGAAAGTTTTCAGCCATCCACATTTGTGATTGGATTTAGGTCAGGGCTCTGACTGGGCCACTCAAGGACATTTACCTTTTTATTCATTAGCCACTCCACTGTAGCTTTGGCCGTGTGTATCGGGTTGTTGTCATGCTGAAAGGTGAAATTCTGTCCCAGTTTCAGCTTTCTTACAGAGGGCAGCAGCTTTTCCTCTAGGACTTTTCTGTACATTGCTCCATTAATTTCCCCTTCTATCCTGATAAGTCCCTGACGATGAGAAACATCCCCATAACATGATGCTGCCACCACCATGCTTCACAGTAGGGATGGTGTTCTTTGGGTGATGTGTTGGGTTTATGCATTCAGCCACATGGCTACAGAATCAAGTTTTTTTTTGTTGCATACTTCAAATGGGATTCCAGGTGGGCTTTCTTGAGTAATGGCTTCCTTCTTGCCACCCTACCATACAAGCAGAATGTGTGGAGTGTTTGGGATATTGTTGTCACATGCACACTTTGACCAGCCTTAGCCTTAAAAGCCTGTCTCTCTTTCAAAGTTGCCATTGGACTCTTGGTAGCCTCTCCGATCTGTCTCCTACTTGCTCGGTCATCCAGTTTGGAGGGACGGCCTGATCTAGGCAGGATATTTGTGGTGCCGTACACCTTCCACTTCTTAACAATCGTCTTGACCGTGCTCTAAGGGATATTCAAGGCCTTTGAAATCTTTTTATACCCATCCCCTGATCTGTGCTTGGTCCCGGAGTTCTTTTGAAAGCTCCTTGGTGCTCATGGTTGAGTGTTTGCTTTGCAATTCACTACATTTTACATTTGAGTCATTTAGCAGACGCTCTTATCCAGAGCGACTTACAGTTAGTGAGTGCATACATTTTTTTTCATACTGGCCCCCCGTGGGAATCGAACCCACAACCCTGGCGTTGCAAGCGCCATGCTCTACCAACTGAGCTACACGCGGCCAGGAGAGGGAACCTACAGGAACTGCTGAATTTATCCTGAAATCATGTGAATCACTACAATTTCACAGGTGGAGGCCAATTAACTTGGTGTGTGATTTTGAAGGTGATTGGTTACACCCAAGCTAATTTATGATTGCTATTACAAGGGGGGGGTGGACACTTATCCAACAAAGATATTTCTGTTTTTATTTTCTGAAGAAAATCTGGAATATGTTTTTTCACTTGGAAGTTGTGGAGTAGGATGTGTAGGTCAATGGGGGAAAAAATGATTTTAATGAATTGTATTTCCAGGCTACGGCAACAAAAGGTGAACATTTTTAAAGGTAGTGTAGACTTTCTACAGGCACTGTAGATGTATTGACTGAGGGAGGGACGGAAAGAGAATAAATAAAGGTAGAGGAAAGAAGGAAAAGAGGAGTGAAAAGGAGAAAGATTAACGTATCAGAGTGACAAGTAAAGTAATAACAGTAATACAAAGAATGAAAAAGTTTGAATAAAGTGGTAATAAAACACGAAAAGTTTGTTGATAATTGTTTACTAATTGTTGTCTCTCTATCCCCTCTCTCTCTCTCTCTCCAGGAGAATGGTGAGGTGAATGGAGGTGTGAATGGAGGTGTGATTGGGGAGGTGAACGGAGAGGTGAATGGTGTTGGTGGAGATGGAGGGTCTATTACCAAGCCTGAGTATGAGACTCTGATGGCCAAGTTTCACTTTGTGGACCTAGCTGGATCAGAGAGACTCAAACGCACCGGAGCAACTGGAGAAAGGGCACGGGAGGGCATATCCATCAACTGTGGACTGGTGAGGAGTGTGTGTGTGCGTGTGTGTGTGTTAAGAAATAATACCCCCCCCCTTCCCGGCACACCCTAATTTTCTGTAAACAAATCCACGCACAAAGATACAATTCAGTGCGTGGTAAATTTACTGTTGATGAAAAAATAAACGTCATTATAAAGCCATGTGGCATTGGCTACAGTTGAGCAGAGGCGTTTTTAGGATTTCCATTCCATTTTTTATTTTTTATACCATACAAATGACCGAAATGAGTGGCTACTCTGACACTGAAAAACTGAGATCAATAAAAACAATCTGGTCTTGACAGGGCTGTTTCGCTAGCACAGACTGGAATATGCTCCGGGACTCATCGAATGGCATTGAGGAGTTTACCACATCTTCATTAATAAGTGCATCGATGACGTCATCCCCACAGTGACCGTACGTACATATCCCAACCAGAAGCCATTGATTACAGGCAACATCCGCACTGAGCTAAAGGCTAGAGCTGCCACTTTCAAGGAGCGTGACACTAACCCGCTTATAAGAAATCCCGCTATGCCCTCCAACGAATAATCAAACAGGCAATTATACTATACCGGCTCTGACTCTCGTCGGATGTGGCAGGGCTTGCAAACTATCACGGATTATAAAGGAAGCCCAGCCGCGAGCTGCTCAGTGACTCGAGCCAGATGAGCTAAATGCCTTCTATGCTCGCTTCAAGGCAAGCAACACTGAACAATGCGTGAGAGCACCAGCTGTTCTGGACGACTGTGTGATCACGCTCTCCGTATGTCACGATCGTCGGGTACAGAGGACCAAGGCGCAGCGTGAAAGGTGAACATATTTATTAAATAATGAAAACACGAACAAAACAACAAACGATAACGTGACGTCCTCGGTCTAACACAAACCACACTGGAACAAGATCCCACAAACACTGTGGGAAAACTGGCTGCTTAAGTATGGTTCCCAATCAGAGACAACAAGCAACAGCTGATACACGTTGCCTCTGATTGAGAACCACACTTGGCCAACATAGAAATACAAAACTAGAACAAAAACAAATGAAAACTCACACCCTGGCTCAACATACTAGAGTCCCCAGAGCCAGGGCGTGACAGTACCCCCCCCCCCCAAAGGCGCGGACTCCGGCCGCGCCAACCAAACACCACAGGGGAGGGACCGGGTGGGCACTCCGCCTTGGCGGCGGATCCGGCTCCGGGCATGATTCCCACTCCCTCTCCAACCCCCCAAAGTACCCCTGGTCCGGTCTGACCCTGCTGGCCGGAGCTGGACTGAACACCGGTGGAGCGGATTGCTCTAGCTCCGGCGTGGAGCAACTGACCGGTGCCGAACCAGGCACCGGTGGAACAGGCACGGGCTGTGCCGGACTGACGACGCACACCACTGGCTTGGTGTGGGGAGCAGGAACAGGCCAAACCGGGCTGACGATGCGCACCATAGGCTTGGTGCGTGGAGCAGGAACAGGCCGAACCGGGCTGACGATGCGCACCATAGGCTTGGTGCGTGGAGCAGGAACAGGCCGGGCCGGGCTGACGATGCGCACCATAGGCTTGGTGCGTGGAGCAGGAACAGGCCGGGCCGGGCTGACGACGCGCACCACAGGCTCGATGCGAGGAACAGAAACAGGCCGGACCGTACTGGGGACACACACCACTGGCCCTACGCAGGGATCAGGAACGGGCCGGACCGGACTGGTAACACACCCCAGTACCTCTCGCCGTGCCTCTACACTTTCCCTCTCCTCTGTGACCAGTGGCCCCCTTAACCTGACGGCCTCCTCTGCAAACCCGCTGGACCGCTCTATCGCGGCCTCCTGCTGCCCCGTCATCCACGGCGTGAGCCCCCCCCTAAAAATTTCTGGGGGCCTCTCCTCCCCGTGGGCCAGGCTCAGTCGAGGTTGATGTCCTTTAGCGATACCTCTGGCGCTGGCTCCTGGACACGCTGCTTGGTCCAGTGTTGGTGGGATCTTCTGTCACGATCGTCGGGTACAGAGGACCAAGGCGCAGCGTGAAAGGTGAACATATTTATTAAATAATGAAAACACGAACAAAACAACAAACGATAACGTGACGTCCTCGGTCTAACACAAACCACACTGGAACAAGATCCCACAAACACTGTGGGAAAACTGGCTGCTTAAGTATGGTTCCCAATCAGAGACAACAAGCAACAGCTGATACACATTGCCTCTGATTGAGAACCACACTTGGCCAACATAGAAATACAAAACTAGAACAAAAACAAATGAAAACTCACACCCTGGCTCAACATACTAGAGTCCCCAGAGCCAGGGCGTGACACCGTAGCTGATGTGAGTTAGACCTTTAAACAGATTAACATCCACAAGGCCGCAGGGTCAGATGGACTACCAGGATGCATATTCAGAGCATGCGCTGACCAGCTGGCAAGTGTCTTCACTGACATTTTCAACCTCTCCCTGACCCAGTCTGTATTATCTACAATTTTCAAGCAGACCACAATAGTCCCTGTGCCTAAGACTGCCAAAGTAACCTGTCTAAATGACTATCGCCCCGTAGCACTCACATCTTTAACCATGAAATGCTTAGAAAAGCTGGTCATGGCTCACATCAACACCATCATCCCAGACACCCTGCACCCACTCCAATTCACATACCGCCCCAACAGATCCACAGATGACGCAATCTCTATTGTACTCCACACTGCCCTTTCTCACTCAGACAAAAGGAACACCTACGTGAGAATGCTGTTCCTTGACTACAGCTCAGCGTTCAACACCATAGTGCCCCCCAAGCTCATCACAAAGCTAAGGACCCTGGGATTGAAGACCTTCCCCTGCAACTGGATTCTGGACTTCCTGACGGGCCGCCCCCTGGTGATTTAGGTAGACAACAACACATCCGCCACGCTGACCCTCAACACGGGGGCCCCTCAGGGGCACGTGCTTAGTCCCCTCCTGTACTCCCTGTTCACCCACGACTGCTTGGCCGCGCATGACTCCAACACCATCATTAAGTTCCTTGGTGTCCACATCACTACGGATCTATCATGGTCCAAACACACCATCACAGTTGTGAAGATGGCACAAAAACGCCTCTTCCCCCTCAGGACGCTGAAAAGATTTGGCATGGGACCTCAGATCATCAAAAAGTTCTACAGCTGCACCAAAATAACGAAGTATCCCTTTAATCCAGTAATTTTTTTGAAACTATTGATCCTCTGTGGCCAAATTATGCTCTCTGGTGTATTTTGAACATTGAGAGCGGGCTCCTGTGATTGGATAAAAAAATATATAATAATATTTGTTTTGCCCCATATGGGCCCCTTCGTTAATCCGCCCCTGTTTGTGAGTGAGTGTATGATGATGATGTTGTGTATGTGTTCTAACTGGTGCTGAGAAACGTGATAATGATGAGTATTTGTTCTAGCTGGCTTTGGGGAATGTGATCAGTGCTCTGGGGGACCAGGCTAAGAAAGGAGGACATGTTCCCTACAGAGACTCTAAACTAACGCGCCTACTACAGGACTCACTGGGAGGAAACAGGTAACACGCACACACAAACACACACCCACACACACACTAGTAAGTCTCTATAACATGTCATATTCCTTTCCTCTCTGCCCATACCGCTCCTCTCTCCAGTCGTACGGTGATGATCGCGTGTGTGAGTCCGTCGGACCGGGACTTCATGGAGACCCTGAACACTCTGAAGTATGCCAACAGAGCCAGGAACATCAAGAACAAGGTGGTGGTGAACCAAGACAAGACCAGCCAACAGATATCTGCTCTGAGGGGCGAGATCGCCAGGCTACAAATGGAACTTTTGGAGTATAAAGCGGTAAGGAGAGAAGGAGGGATAGAAGGAGGGACAGAGGTTTGGGATGGGGGGAGGGAGGGATGGATGGGGTAAGGGGGGGGGGTAGAGAGAATGAGGGAGGGATGGAGTCAGGGAGCAATGGATAGAGGGAGAGAAGAAGGGAAATGGATAGAGAAAGGAAGGGGGAGAGGTTGGAGGATGGAGAAGTGGGTGGAGGGACCAATGGAGAGAGGAAGCGATGTAGGGACTTGGGAGAGAAAAAAGGAAGGGATGGAAGGATGGAAAGAAGGAATGGAAATATTATTATTATTATATAAAAAAAAAAAGATCCATTCCCTCATGTTAATCAACTTTAATCTTTGGCCTGGAAGATTACAGGAAGCGAGGGATGGTTTAGAACAATAATGTGATTAAGAGAGAGTTCATGGTTAACTGAGTTAATGGTGCGTAACCAATGGATGACCTTGTTGAGTTACAGGAAAGATCCGATCTGACGGATCTGTGTTGGAGAGTAATGGAGCATGTGATTGGTTGAAATAGTGTTGTCTAATTTATGATTGGCTGAGGTGTTGTTGACCAGTATGTCAAGAAATAAAATGGAAAATAGGAATTTTTACGAACAAGTGATACAAAAATCTATATTCTGTTTGTTGATTGGATGAAATGGCATTGTTCTGTATGTTCATTGGATGAGATAACATCTTCCTGTATGTGTATTGTCCCCCTCCCCAGGGTAAGCGTGTGGCGGGTGAAGACGGCTCAGAGGGCTTCAGTGATCTGTTCCAAGAGAACTCTATGTTACAGAGAGAGAACGACACGCTACGCATGAGAGTCAAAGCCATGCAGGAGACCATCGACCACCTCAACACACGGGTCACCACGCTCCTCGCCAACGAGGTCAGCACGCTGCTCGCTAAGTCAGGTAAGACCGAGAGAGGCGACGCACACACTCTCCAACGGGATTGGCTGATTGTTGCAGATTGTGGCTGTCTGAAAACATTCATAGCTATTAAATCATTTTTCTCGCCTTCCTTGTTTACTCAATTTCTACACGTCCCTCTCAAAGCTCATTGGAGGAGAGGATCCAAGGTCTATCCATCCCTTAGACCTTCTCCTCCAATGAGCTTTGAGAGGAATTGAGGAAACAAGGATTTGACAGCTAATAAGGCTTTCAGACACAGTCCATATCATGTAGTTAAGAATTGTTAACCTCTTATGTCTCACTGTGACCTCACGGTACCTGACTGTGAACTCTGACCTTTTGACCTCTAGGTGAGGGCAATGAGGAGATTGGTGCTCTGATCCAGAACTACATCAGAGAGATCGAGGAGCTCAGGTAAGAGTCTGTAATGAGCTTTAGACTGAGTGGGGGGAAAGCAGTTGACTGAGTTGCAGCTCACTGTGTTTTACCGTTACTGTACTGTTCATGGAGTTTTTATTTTGTTGTAGTTTGAGGAACTTTCAGATTATGTTCTGTATACAGTAAGAGTTAAGTTTGACAAATGACATCTGGTTTGTCTTCTTGTTCTCTCTACCCCCCCCCCCCCCCCCCCCCCCTCCACCCCCCTGCCCCCCAGATCTAAGCTCCTGGAGAGCGAGTCGATGAACGAGTGTCTTCGTCGCAGTGTAACCCGTCTCTCCTCCCGTTCCCCGTTCTCCGCCTCCTCCTCTCATAACTCCACCCCGGGGCCACACCCCTTAGGCTCCTCCCCTTCCCTTTCCATGGAGGCGGAGATGACGGACGTGATTCGTCGAGCCAAGACAGACATCGAGAGGCTGAAGAAGAAGGAGAGGAGACAGAGGAGGATGAGGTAAGAGGAGGAAGGGAGAGGAGAGGAGAGGAAAGGAGAGGAGAGGAGGACAGGAGGAAACTGCCATTGACAGCAAGAATTGAAGGGGGCAAGAGCAGGGTTGGGCACAGTCCCATTTCTATTCAGCGAGTGAATGGAATTGGAATGGGGCCAGGATGGTAGTGTAGTAATGATCGCACAGTGATAAGCAGCTCTCATTCTCTCATTAACCAGTGAGAGGGAGAGGGAGAGGGGAGCATGGACAAAGTCACAGGTTAACACAGGCTAATTCACTTATAATCAGAGATAGAGAGGGACAGATAGAGGGAGATCAAGAAAGGGAGAGTGAGAGGTCTCTGCTAATAACTGAGCTCTCCATGTTCACTTGGCAACAGTCCCAAAACAAAATGGCTGATTTTTTTGGAAGAGTCCCAAATTAAATCAGACAAATCAAATCAGAGGCACATGGTGTGTAATGAATGGGTAATCAATATTAGTAATAGATTCATATGGTAAATAAAAAATAAACATTCTTATTGGGTCACAGCTGTTATGAGCTATGCCTTCTCTCTCTCTACTTGTATGTATGTATGTATGTATGTATGTATGTATGTATGTATGTATGTATGTATGTATGTATGTATGTATGTATGTATGTATGTATGTATGTATGTATGTATGTATGTATGTATGTGTGTGTGTGTGTGTGTCTGTGAGTGTCCTACTCTGATGCCTGTCAATCTTTTCTAACTGCAGCCCAGAGAAAGAGAAAGGGTTGAAGAAACGAGTGAAGCTTCATTCTCATGAGAACGGACAGAACGGAGAAAACGGACAGATGGACTCGGATGTGATGTCACCTCTGCAGGAGGAAGAGAGCGGGTGTGACGAGGAAGAAGAGGAGGAGGATGAGGAGGAAGGGAGAGATGAAGAGGAGTTTGACAGTGATGAGAGTCTGGTGGACTCAGACTCTGACTCTGATGAGAAAGGTTAGTGGATGACAACAATGACAGTGGCAGAAATGTCTCCATTCCAGTTCAACCTATTGCCTTTGTGTACTGTTGCTTTGACAGGATTGATGGGCATCAGCAATATGGTGAAAGTAACATTTTGTCCTCTGTTTGGCTGTACGGTACTTTTACCATATTGCTTACCTATCCAATCCTTTCAGATCTACAAGGAGTGCCTAATTAGCATTAGGGCTAGGAGTTAATTTGAAATCTGCAACTGCCCCACTCTACTATAACATGTCTGTCTGAGAGCCACAGTTTTCACCTTTCACCTCTTGACCCTTGACCTCTCTTTGCCCTCTGCCCTCTATCCCCCTGCAGCTAATTTCCAGGCGGATCTGGCAGACCTGACGAGTGAGATTGAGATCAAGCAGAAGTTGATCGATGAGCTGGAGAACAGTCAGAAGAGACTGCTGCAGCTCAAACTACAGTATGAAGAGAAACTCATCCTGCTGCAGAACAAGATCAGAGACACACAGCTGGAGAGAGATAGAGTACTGCACAACCTCAGTGAGTAGAACTATGAACTATGGGTAGTGTAGGCACACAGGATCCCCTCAGTGAGTGGAGTGACTCATAGATGCTGAATAGACACACTGCTCTCTGTCTCGAATGTACCTCTTTCAAACACACTCTCTCTCTTTCATCTCCTCCTCTCTTCTATCTCCCTTCCCTCTCTCCTCCTTCAGTGTCTATGGAGAACTACACAGAGGAGAAGGCTAGTAGGATTAAATCAGAGTATGAGAAGAGGCTGAAGGAGATGAACAGAGACCTGATGAAACTACAGGCAGCACAGAAGGAACACACTAGGCTACTGAAGAACCAAGGACGCTATGAACAGGCACTGAAGAAACTACAGCAGGAGGTCAACGAGATGAAGAAAGCCAAGGTAAGGAGGAGGAGAAGGGGAGAAAGAGGAGAATGAGGTGTGGAGGGGGGGACAAGGAGGAGAAGGAGGAGCAGGGGATGGTGCTAGCTCTATAGGCTACATTAAGTGCATTTCTATCTGCAATATTTCTATCATATGCAATGTTGAGACCTTGCCCAGCCCCTACCCAATAAATGAGACAAAGGAAACAAAGCTAGGAAACGCTGATGTCAAGAACTTGGTCAACATTGAGACCTTGCCTCTCAATAAGGCTCAGGCACTGATGGTACTCTCCAGCTAAGTGCAGTGTGTCCTCCTGTCCCCAGGTGGCGGTGATGAAGCAGATGAAGGAGGAGCAGCTAAAGAGGAGGATGATGGAAGCCAAGAGGAACAGAGAGATCGCTCAGCTCAAGAAGGAGCAGCGACGACAGGAAGTATGTGTGTGTGTTTCTGTGCTGAAAGAAAGTTCCTGCTTCACATGATAACCCCCAGTAGACTGCACCTAGGTTCTAAAGCCATCACCCTTCTGGTTACCAGTTGATCTCCTACTGTCTTATCAACCGGTCTGGGATTTGAACCAGCAACTTTTCGGCTATTGGTCTGCTTCTCTAACCTCTAGGCTGCCCTCGGATCTACATTTTCATGTATTGTTGTTAGTGTATGTCTCTTTCTCTCTTTCTCTGTTACCCATTTCCAGGTTACTGACATTGAGAATGTATGGTTAATATACAGAATCACACATATATTGACTGACCTCTCCCCCATCAGTACCAGATTCGTTCGTTGGAGTGTCAGAAGCGTCAGCAGGAGCTGGTCCTGAGGAGGAAGAGCCAGGAGGTGACAGCCTTACGACGGCTGGCTAAACCAATGTCTGGACGTATGGCTAGACGACTACAGCCCCTAGACTCTGGAGCAGAACTGTCTGCCAGCACCACCTCCTCTGAACCAGAGTCCAACCGGTAAGTAGTGCTGCTATGCAGAGGTTGAGTCTATTGTCTATAGTGCTAACATACACTGTAAAAAAAAACAGTATGTTACTGTACCATATTTTACGGTATACTGTTAATATTTTTATGGTATACTATTTTACAGTATACTGTTAATATTTTTATGGTATACTATTTTACGGTATACTGTTAATATTTTTATGGTATAATATTTTACGGTATACTGTTAATATTTTTATGGTATACTATTTTACGGTATACTAATACTGTTACTGTAATTGATTTACAGTACCAATAATTATACTGTAGTCGTTTTACGGTAACAAATACTCTTACTGTAAAGCCTTATTTGCATATTTTCCAGAATGCCTTTAGAGTGAATTGTAGAGTTTTTTTGTATTATGAGATTTGTATGTATTATGGATCCTCATTAGCTGCTGCCAAGGCAGCAGCTACTCTTCCTGGGGTTTATTATGGATCCCCATTACTTCCTGCCAAGGCAGCAGCTACTCTTCCTGGGGTTTATTATGGATCCCCATTAGTTCCTGCCAAGGCAGGGTTATACAATTAAGGCAGTTTATACAATTTATAAAACATTACAATACATTCCCTCAGGCCCCTACTCCACCACTACCACATATCTACAGTACAAAATCCATGTGCATCGTATGTGTGAATGGATGTGTCTGTGCCTATGTTTGTGTTGCTTCACAGTCCCCGCTGTTCCATAAGGTGTATTTTTATCTGTTTTTTTTATTGTACTGCTTGCGTCAGTTACTTGATGTGTAATAGAGTTCCATGTATTCATGGCTCTGTTTAGTACTGTGCGCCTCCCATAGTCTGTTCTGGACTTGGGGACTGTGAAGAGACCTCTTGTGTCTTGTGGGGTATGCATGGGTGTCCGAGCTGTGCACCAGTAGTTCAAACAGACAGCTTGGTGCATTCAACATGTCAATACCTCTCATAAATACAAGTAGTGATGAAGTCAATCTCTCCTCCACTTTGAGCCAGGAGAGATTGACATGCATATTATTAATATTAGCTCTCTGTGTACATCTAAGGGCCAGCCGTGCTGCCTTGTTCTGAGCCAATTACAATTTTCCTAAGTCCCTTTTTGGGGCACCTGACCACATGACTGAACAGTAGTCCAGGTGCGACAAAACTAGGGCCTGTAGGATCTGCGTTGTTGATAGTGCTGTTTAGAAGGTAGAGCAGAGCTTTATTATGGACAGACTTCTCCCAATCTTAGCTACTGTTGTATCAATATTTTTTGATCATGACAGTTTGCAATCCAGGGTTACTCCAAGCAGTTTAGTCACTTCAACTTGCTCAATTTCCACATGATTTATTATAAGATTTATTTGAGGTTTAGGGTTTAGTGAATGATTTGTCCCAAATACAATGCTTTTAGTTTTAGAAATGTTTAGGACTTTTCCTTGCCACCCACTCTGAAACTAACTGCAGCTCTTTGTTAAGTGTTGCAGTCATTTCAGTCGCTGTAGTAGCTGACATGTATAGTGTTGAGTCATCCGCATACATGGACACTGGCTTTACTCAAAGCCAGTGGCATGTCATTAGTAAAGATTGAAAAAAGTAAGGGGCCTAGACAGCTGCCTTGGGGAATTCCTGATTCTACCTGGATTATGTTGGAGAGGCTACCATTAAAGAACACCCTCTGTGTTCTGTTAGAGAGGTAACTCTTTATCCACAATATAGCAGGGGGTGTAAAGCCATAACACATACGTTTTTCCAGCAGCAGACTATGATCGATAATGTCAAACGCTACACTGAAGTCTAACAAAACAGCATCCACAATATTTTTATCATAAATTTCTCTCAGCCAATCATCAGTCATTTGTGTAAGTGCTGTGCTTGTTGAATGTTCCTTCCCTATAAGCATGCTGAAAGTTTGTTGTCAATTTGTTTACTGTAAAATAGCATTGTATCTGGTCAAACACCATTTTTTCCAAACACTTACTAAGGGCTGGTAACAGGCTGATTGGTCAGCTGTTTGAGCCAATAAAGGGGGCTTTACTATTCTTAGGTAGTGGAATGACTTTTGCTTCCCTCCAGGCCTTGGGGCACACACTTTCTGGTAGGCTTAAATTGAAAATATGGCAAATAGGAGTGGCAATATCGTCCGCTATTATCCTCAGTAATTTTCCATCCATTGTGTCAGGCCCCGGTGGCTTGTCATTGTTGATAGACAACAATAATTATTTCACCTCTTCCACACTCGCTTTACAGAATTAAAATTACAATGCTTGTCTGTCATAATTTGGTCAGATATACTTTGATGTGTAGTGCCAGTGTTTGTTGCTGGCATGTCATGCCTAAGTGCGCTAATCTTGCCAATGGAAAAATAATTAAAGTAGTTGGCAATATCAGTTTGTTTTGTGATGAATGAGCCTGTATCTGATCCAATGAATGATGGAGCTGAGTTTGCCTTGTTTCCCAAAATGTCATTTAAGGTGCTCCAAACTTTTTACTATCATTCTTTATGTAATTTATCTTTGTTTGATAGTGTGGTTTCTTCTTCTTTTATTTAGTTTAGTCACATGATTTCTCAATTTGCAATACAGTTGCCAATCGGTTGTGCAGCCAAAATTACTTTCCATTCCTTTTGCCTCATCCCTCTCAACCATGCAATTTTTCAATTCCTCATCAATCCAAGGGGATTTAACAATTTTTACAGTCATTTTCTTAATGGGTGCATGCTTATTAGTAACTGGAATAAGCAATTTCATAAATGTGTTAAGTGCAGCGTCTGTGTGCTCCTCATTACATACCATGGACCAACAAATATTATTTACATCAACAACATAGGAATCCCTACAAAACGTATTGTATGACCTCTTGTACACGATATTAGGCCCAGCCTTTGGAACTTTGGTTTTCCTAGATATGGCTACTATATTGTGATCTCTACATCCGATGGATCTGGATACTGCTTTCAAGCAAATTTCTGCAGCATTAGTAAAGATGTGGTCAATATATGTTGATGATTTCATTCCTGTGCTGTTTTTAACTACCCTGGTAGGTTGACTTATAAACGGAACTAGGTTGCAGGCACTGGTTACATTTTGAAGCTTTTTCTTGAGTGGGCAGCTTGATGAAAGCCAGTCAATATTTAAATCACCCAGAAAAGATACCTCTTTGTTGATATCACATACATTATCAAGCATTTCACACATGTTATCCAGATACTGACTGTTAGCACTTGGTGGTCTATAGCAGCTTCCCACCAGAATGGGCTTTAGGTGATGCAGATGAACCTGTAGCCACATTACTTCAACAGTATTTAACATGAGATCTTCTGTAATCTTTACAGGAATGTGGTTCTGAATATAAACAGCAACACCTCCACCATTGGTATTTCTATATTTTCTGTAAATGTTATAACCTTGTATTGCTAACACTGTATCATCAAAGGTATTATATAAGTGAGTTTCAGAGATAGAATATGAATGTCATCTGTTACTAGCAAATTATTGATTTCATGAACCTTGTTTCTTAAGCTACATATGTAAACATGGGCTATTTTGAGCACTTTTCTTCTGGGATGCTTACTTGTTGCCTTGATTACACACACACAAAAGGAACAGTCCACAAACACAAAGTAACAAACATAAATCTATGGCTCCCATCAGAGCAACAGCTTACATCGTTTGCTTGATGGGTCAAGCAACATAGAAACGACAACTGAACACACGAGAAACAGAAAACATAGAATGAACACACCCTGGCTCAACATAATGAGTCCCCGAGCCAGGGTGTGACAGTTTTCATTGCTTTACTGGGAAGCTTAAAATCAAATCAAATGTATTGGTCACATACACATGGTTAGCAGATGTTATTGCGAGTGTAGCGAAATGCTTGTGATTCTAGTTTCGACAGTGCAGCAATATCTAGCAAGTAATATCTAACAGTTCCACAACAAATACCTAATACACACAAATCTAAGTAAAGAAATGGAATAAGAATATGTAAATATATGGATGAGCAATGTCATTGTCAGAGCGGCATAGGCTAAGATGCAATAGATAGTATAGAATGCAGTATATACATATGAGATGGGTCATGCAAGATATGTAAACATTATTAAAGTGGAATTATTAAAGTGACTAGTGTTCCATTTATTAAAGTGGCCAGTAATTTTCAAGTCTGTATGTAGGCAGCAGCCTCTCTGTGCTAGTGATGGCTTTTTAACAGTCTGATGGCCTTGAGATAGAACCTGTTTTTCAATCTCTCGGTCCCAGCTTTGATGCACCTGTACTGACCTCGCCTTCTGGATGATAGCGGGGTGAACAGGCAGTAGCTCGGGTGGTAGTTGTCCTTGATCATCTTTTTGGCCTTCCTTTGACATCGGGTGCTGTAGGTTTCCTGGAGGGCGGGTAGTTTGTCCCCGGTGATGCGTTGTGCAGACCGCACCACCCTCTGGAGAGCCCTGCGGTTGTGGGCGGTGCAGTTGCCGTACCAGGCGGTGATACAGCCCGACAGGATGCTCTCAATTGTGCATCTGTAAAAGTTTGTGAGGGTTTTAGGTGACAGGCCAAATTTCTTCAGCCTCCTGAGGTTGAAGAGACGCTGTTGCGCCTCCTTCACCACGCTATCTGTGTGGGTGGACCATTTCAGTTTGTCAGTGATATGTACGCCGAGGAACCTAAAACGTTCCACCTTCTCCACTGCTGTCCCGTCGATGTGGATAGGGGGGTACTCCCTCTGCTGTTTCCTGAAGTCCACGATCAGAAGTTAATTTGCTCATGTTATTTATGTTTGTGCAGGGTGAGCTGCACACAGTGGACTTCCTCCTAGGGCACACGGCCTCAGTGTTAACAGTATAAATCAGGTTCATAGGCACGTGATTACTGTTTACAATAGATGTAGGATCAGCAGAGGCATTCAGGGCAGTTAGAAGGACATAAATTAGGTTACTTACATTGTGTCTACCAACGCCCCTGGTGTAATGTACATTTACTGAAGCTCTATGGCAACTCTGCGTCACAATGGTAGGGATTAGCTGAGCTGGGCTTGGGTCATTGATAAGTCATTGTCTCAACGCAGCCTTATAATGCTGTGAAAGGATCCAGGAACCCAAATGATTTGGGTGGATTCCATCCTCATTATAAAACGTGTTTTGTTTCCAAAAGGTATCAAAATTGTCAACAAAAGTTACACCCATTGAGCTGCAATAATCACATAGCCAGCTAGAGAAGGAATCCTGCTAAAGCGTTCAATGCCACGATTCAGAGAGGGCACAGGGCCAGATATGATGGGTATTTTGTTAGCAGAGAGTCAATCAGCTCTTTAAAATCCAGTTTCAGCTGTTCAGAGCTGGCCTTCATGATGTCATTAAAACCCACATGTCCTGATGTAGTACATTCGGGAGCAGCTTAGTAATGTCTTTTACTCAAACTCCGGGATAGGACATTGTTTTTGCACCAGGAACGGTCACATTTCTAATTACCCATGACTGTATTTGTTAGTGACAGAGACATGGTTGTTGGCTTCCTTCATTTTCAGTCCTGTGGCCTTCACTAAGTGAAAATGATTTATTTGTATGTCTTTCTCACTGTATATTTTTTCTAGAATATAAATGCAATGCTACAAACAAAGCAATGCAGATAAAATAACAAAACCGGTACAAATTAACTAAGAACAAAATATTACATTTATAATAATAATTTGCAAAAATGTTTTCTCTCTTGCTTCAGAGAATGTGCTTTGATTTGGTTGCTTTTAATGTCGCATTCTACTTGGAATATTCACAAATACAGTAAGTGAACTGCTACTGTGTTTTATGTAGCATTTTTTACGGTAATGTCCAAAATACATCTAATATTACCTGTCCATTGAATCTCAGTCCACAATGTAATTTACGGTAATCTACTGTATTCAGTTTATACAGTATGAATGAAGTCTGTTGATTATACTGTAATTTACCATGACAATTACAGTGTAGGAAACAGGTTCCAGTGTGTCTGCTGAACAGTTGATATAAACAGTACTTTTTAAAACTTTCTTTCATTTCATAGTTTGTGTTTGTTGTTTATATTGTGTTTCAGTTGAATTATAACTTCGTTTTATAATGTACAATTACTAGATACTAAAATATCTCGCTTTCTCTCTCTGCTCTCTCTCTCTCTCACACTCTATCTCTCTATCTCTCTCTTTTTTCCTCTCTCTCTCTCAGGACCACCTCAACCAACGTGTCTAACATAGTGAGACAGTGGAACACCAAGATGAATGGCTACCTGGGAGAGAGCGAGAGGGTGACCACCAACGGGACACAGGTTATTGGGTGAGTCATGGCAGGGAGTGTGTGTGTGTGTGTGTGTGTGTGTGTGTGTGTGTGTGTGTGTGTGTGTGTGTGTGTGTGTGTGTGTGTGTGTGTGTGTGTGTGTGTGTGTGTGTGTGTGTGTGTGTGTGTCATAGATTGTCAGGTCAGATGCAGAGCAGGGATGCATGTGTTTGTATCTGTGTGTGTTTGTATCTGGTGTGCGTACATGTTTTTGATGCATCGTCAGGTCAGAGACAGAGAACGGATGAGGGTGTGTGTGTGTGTGTGTGTGTGTGAGAGAGAGTGTTAGTGTGAGACTTGAGTGTGTTTGTTTGTGTTTGTGTGTGCGTGCCTGCGAGCCTGCAAGGTCAGATTCAGATTAGGTATGACTCTGTTGACATTTACTTAGCCAAGGCTTTTGTCAGTTTCAATAAAGTTGTATTACATTTTACAAAGCCATTTATCGAATTACCTTCAAATGAAATTGACAGGAGTGACTTTGTTAGTCTGATAATCTCTCTCCCTCCTTCCTCCTCTTTCTCCCTCTCCTTCCCTCCTACTCTCTCCTTTCTTCCCCCACCTCTACCTATAACCCTCTCTTTCCCTATCCTTTCTCTCTCTCCTCTAACTTCTCCCTCTCCCTCTCTTCCCCTCTCTCCCCCTTCCTCCCTCACTCCCTGGTCCCCTCCACTCTCTTCCCCTACTCCAGCAGCAGTACTAAGGTTTGATATAGCTTTGATATGACTGACAGTTGATATGTATTGTAATGTCCTGAACTGTATCTTTCTCTCTCTGTGCAGCAGTAGGAAGCGTGTCCAGCAGCAAAAGGGTGTTCTAGTGGGCAGCAGTAGTTTCTCTAAGTCGGCCCGTCAGAAGTGGCAGACTCTAGAGAGGAGGATCCTAGACATTGTCATGCAGAGGATGACCATCACCAACGTAGAGGCCGACATGGACCGACTCATCAAGGTACTGTGATGAGGTCACTTCCTTTGCACTTTAGTCAGACTTCCTCTTCACTTTTAGTGCATTGTGATGCAGTTACAACTCATTATTAATGACTTCATTCACTTACCAGTTTACTTACTTAAAAAATGCATTGTTCCTTCCTGTCTGTTAATGATCGAGCTAACATGTTTTTTTCTCTCTTGTGTGTGTGAGACAGAAGCGAGAGGAGCTGTCTGTGCAGCAGGAGGCGCTGTTGCGTAAAAGGCAGGTGCTTATGGCTGAGGGGGAGGGGCCTGACGGGGAGGACCGCCTAGTCCAGGAAATGAACGAGGACATTGAGGTTCTGAATGCAAACATCGACTACATCAACGACAGCCTATCAGACTGCCAGGCCACCATCGTTCATATAGAGGAGACCAAGGTGAGAACACACGCACACACATTAGTGTAAAATGTCCTAGTTCTGGTGTACGGAGCTCCGTGCAGACTACTGAAGCCTGGGTGTTTCCTGCAGGATGAGCTGGACTCAGTGGACACCTCAGTGGTCATCAGCTCCTGCTCTCTGGCTGAGGCCCGACACCTCCTGGACCACTTCCTCAAGGCCTCCATCGACAAGGTAACTAACATGGGCCACGACCCAGGACCATCTGGTGGCTACAGTAGTTCATAGGTTATAGTCCAGATATATCATAACACAGACACAGTTCACAACTTGGAGATAGTCCCTATCAGGTCCTCATCAGTTTACAATTATTTTAGCAAATGTTGTGCAAATGGACACCCGTTTCAGGGAGGGTTGGCCAGTAGTTAATCTCTTGTGAAAAGTAAACTGAGAGAATCTGTCGGGACTGAATGGGATGAGTAGGATAGTTTGGTTTTTCGTCACTGGTTATTTGGACAAATCACTATTTCACAGGTGTTAGCATCTTTTTAATTTGAAGGGGAGGGGACATTCGGCCCGTAACTTGCAAAGAGAGAGGGGTGGAGCTCCTCATTCCGGTTCCGCTCCTCGTTCTAGTATTTCCTGATTTATTCTCTTAACATGTATGGACCCAGAACTTAATCGAGCAGCTGACCAATTACGTGAGACTTTAGTTCTGGGTTAACCGAGATTAGCCAGATGTAGTTGATAGCTGTATAGTTGATAAATGGTTGAAATAGGTCTCCCTCTGCTGGTCTTTCCAGGGACTGCAGGAAGCTCAGATCACTTGTAGGAATGGTGTTAGTAACTATATTGTGTGTGTGTGTGTATGCGTGTGCCTGTTTGTGTGTGTATGTGTGTAGGGTTTACAGGTGGCTCAGAAGGAGTCTCAGATCCGTCTGTTGGAGGGCCAGCTGAGACAGACAGATATGATTGGCTCTGCTCATAACCACATCATCCTGGACGCGCTGAGAGAGAAGGCTGAGTGTATCCCCGAGCTGCAGGCACTCATCCACAACGTACAGCAGGGTGAGGACACCCACCCACCCACACTCACTCACTCACTCACTCACTCACTCACTCACTCACTCACTCACTCACTCACTCACTCACTCACTCACTCACTCTCTCTCTTACTCACTCACTGTTTCTTCATGTTTCGATGTCTGTGTTCACAGAGAATGGTTATGTCAGCACTGACGAGGAGCCTTCAGAGTTTAGCCAGGCCTCTGATGGCAGGTGAGACTACATGATCCACTTCTGGGTCCTCATTTATAACCATTGCGTAAATTTAACACTAAATATCTGTGTGCGTCATTTCTGTAAATTATTGAGATTTATAAACTTTGTGTACACCATATATACGCATATTTCCCATTATAAATCAGACCTGTCGTAAAACAGTGCACACGTGAACAAGCATCATAATTCCGCTTGAAAACGCCCATAATTCACCTTTTATGGTGACATAAACGCCCTTATTTGCTGTATACTTTGGAAGTATTGGAATTAGGCCAAGACAGGATCTAAAGGAAATAGCAATGTTGAACTTTATCAAATTGCTTATTTTGCAGTGACATTTGCTGAATCTGACCGTTTCAAATAGTTGTAGACCTGTAAACAGATCGTTTGAATGCAATAATGTTTGCATTAACTATCCCGAACCTAAATATGTTGCACTGCTAGCGAACTCTGGTGTAATATATTCTCCATTTGCACAAGGCTACTACTTTTGCCTTCTTGCAATACTTCAACCACTAGAAACAATGCATACGCATGGTCTAAAGTTTGCGGGAGGAACTTGCACATTGTCAAGTTAAATTCAGTTCTTATAAATTCGAACTTTTGCGTGTGAACTGGTGCACGCATGTTCTGGAGGATATTTAGTGCATTGCCAACATTTATAAAACAAGGCCCCTAAACCTCACACCAAATACTCATCATCACCCTTTTTGTGTGTGTTTACATTTCTTGTTCTCTCTCTCTCTTCAGTGTGTCTCAGATGAAGTCTTCAGCTAGTCAGGATGACTTTAAGCTGAAGGTTCAGGTAGGTGAACATGTGTTTCAGGTGTAGGCTACATGGTGTCTGTCTCCTCGCCTCAGCATTTCTTTCTTGAATTTATTTCAGTATTCTGGATGTTACTGACTTGTATGACATGTTTGTTATGAGGAATCCTCACTGGAAACAGTTACAGCGCCGGAGTTGATTCTGTTGTCTAAACAAAGTAGAGGTTGTAGTTGTACTCAGCTGCCAGGAGATGGCAGCCTCTGCACATGAGTAATTATGGCTGTGATAGTTGCCTTCACAGAACCCCAAGATAACTAAACTACTCTTTCCCAAGCAGTGGAGGCTGCAGATGGGAGGACGGCTCATAATAATGGCTGGAACGGAGCGAGTGGAATGGCATCAAACATGGAAACCGCGTGTTTGATGTATTTGATACCGTTCCACTTATACCGCTCCAGCCATTACCACGAGCCCGTCCTCCCAAATTAAGGTTCCACCATCCACTTATGATCCAAAGGTATAGTCTGTTCTATTGAATGCGTAATTTGACATCTTTCTTCCTACTCTTTCTGCCCCTCCTCCTCTCCTCTTCCCAGACTGAGCCCCGTCTGTCAGCCCAGATGAAAGCGGTATCGGCAGAGTACCTTGGTCCCGTGTTAGACCCGTCCACTAAGAACATCACCAAGTCCCTGGCCTCCCTAACAGACATCCAGGAGAACGGGGCCAGTATGAGTGGCCTGAGCCTCACTCTCCCCATCTTTAGAGACAGGGTGTCAAGGACCATCAGCCTGCCTGTCCGGGGACACACCTTGTGAGTCTTAGGCTATGGTGCACTGTTCCTTAAAGGGAGTTCCAATATGGTAGATGGTGGCTTCAGAACAGCACCACTTGTTAACCATCTAGGGAATCTATTTCTATGGTCGCAGTAATTGCCAATGCTAATGCTAGCTTGCTATGGCTATGGATGGTGGTGTCACATGCTAATTCTAACAATCTGCTACTGTATGCTAATGGTTATTTTCTCTCTATCGCTCTCACTCTCTTTCGCTCTGTGTGTGTGTGTGTATCAGTCCCAGGCAGTCTCGGGGGGGTGACACCTCCCCTCTAACAAGGAGGAAGTCTTATGACCGAGGCCAGTCTTACAGGTAGCTAACTCTCTCCCCCAACTAATCACTAATCAATACATTGTTTAGTTGAATCTCCCTCCACAATCCCTTTACCAATGTTCCTGCATTATTGTATTCCTTTTTAATTATGTAAAGTGTGTTGTGACACGTGAAATGCACATTAAATTAATCTGACTTGACCAATCAATCAATCAATCAATCAATCTGTTGAATATGATACACAAACCCAATGACTGGAAAACAAGCTGTTCTCATCATCTCCCGCATCTCTCCATCCACCCTCCTCCCCTCTCCCCCGCACCCTTCTCACCTATCGCGCTCTCACAGAAATGCTGATGGGTATACTCCCCCATCCTCCCCCCCTCTCAGAACCAGAAATGACCGCAATGTCTTTTCAAGGCTCACCAGCAACCAGAGCCAAGGCTCTGCACTGGACAAGTAAGTACACACACACACACACTGTCACCTCGAAACACCTCAATAAAGGGAATAGGTTGCCATTTGGAACTCACTGTAACAGAAAACTAAATGATACTGTAATTTGGGGTATTATCAACAGTGAAATACTTAAAATGTATAGGGGACAGACTGGAGTGGCAGCAAGTCTTAAACCTTAAATGGTTGAGCATTTTACCATGTCCTTTTGGTCTGTAGTCACTGCCAGTTTGGAAGCCTTTGTCTATAAGTGCAAGTGATATAAAACACCAAATATTAATTAATATACTGTAATGTGTAAACACTTTACCTAGCAGCCAACCTGCTTGCACCAATCCCTTGTAATTACAGTAAAATACTGTGAAATACAAACTTCTCCCCTTAATAAATGTAATTCATCCATTCATTCATTCATTCATTCATTCTGATTACGGTAGCATTTACTTTTTTACAGTATAATACAGTAAATGTTATGGTATTGTACACAGTACTTGCTTTGATACCGTATTTATATTACATTAGGTGTGCTGTAATATGAAATAGAGAATTTTACTTGGCACTGAGCTGCCTGTAAGTTACTGTCAAATTCCCGGCAACCCCTTTACAGTGTAGTGTTCCATTCTTTTTCCAATCAATTCTAATTCTCAACCCTGAAAATGGCGGCAGTTAATTCTCAGCCTCTAAATTGTTTGTTTAATTTATAATCTTTATTAGGTTGTTGTGTTTATTGATCAGGTGTAGTAAGTTGTGGGTAATAAGACTGTGTGTTTCCGTATGTGCGTGTGTGTGCGTGCGTGCCTTTGTGTGTGTACTAGGGTGGTTGGTCTATGGCTGCCTGATAATGCCTGTGGATTCTCATGATCTAAACCAGTAGTTCAATGAGCACAGATTAACTTGTTAGCGTCCTCTCTGGGATGTGTCAGCAGGCAGCCATTTTGTTCTGATTGAGTTGAGGGTGGTGGATAGGGGGATGGGATAGGATACAGTTGGGGGCTTGTGACTGCACCATTAGGGGCATATTTCAGAAATGTGTTACATGACATGGGTTATTGTTAGATAATTGGTTTGATAATTGGTTTGATGACTCCCGAGTGGCACAGTGGTCTAAGGCACTGCATCGCAGTGCTAGCTGTGCCACTAGAGATCCTGGTTCGAATCCAGGCTCTGTCGTAGCCGGCCGCGACCGGGAGACCCATGGGGTGGCGCACAATTGGCCCAGCGTCGTCCAGGGTAGGGGAGGGAATGGCCGGCAGGGATGTAGTGCATGGCGTTTGCAACGCCAGGGTTGTGGGTTCGATTCCCACGAGGGGCCAGCTTGAAAAAAAAATTATATAGATAATGTGGATAAGAGCGTCTGCTAAATGACTAAAAATGTAAAAATGTGAATGTTTGCTGAGACTGGGAGGTTGATCGAATTTGGCCCACATTGTGTTTGACAGTAGAGGATGAGGTGTATAGGCAGAGATGGGGCTGGGAAGTTGGGTTTATCATGAGATATAGTTACAGCTCATTGTTTTTCTATGTTTTATGATGTTTAGCATGGTTTTGACATCAACATGTTTTTGGAACAGTTTTACATCCATCTTGTATGCTTTGACAAGAATCAATCCAAGTTATTATGTTTCTTTGCACACTGAGTGATTTCACTTTGCTTTGGAGTTCACTTTGCTTTAGGTTTACTTTGCTTTGGGTTTACTTTGCTTTGGGTTTACTTTGCTTTAGGGTTACTTTGCTTTAGGTTTACTTTGCTTTAGGTTTACTTTGCTTTGGGTTTACTTTGCTTTGGGTTTACTTTGCTTTAGGGTTACTTTGCTTTAGGTTTACTTTGCTTTAGGTTTACTTTGCTTTGGGTTTACTTTGCTTTAGGTTTACTTTGCTTTGGGTTTACTTTGCTTTAGGGTTACTTTGCTTTAGGTTTACTTTGCTTTAGGTTTACTTTGCTTTGGGTTACTTTGCTTGGGTTTACTTTGCTTTAGGGTTACTTGCTTTAGGTTTACTTTGCTTTAGGTTTACTTTGCTTTGGGTTTACTTTGCTTTAGGTTTACTTTGCTTTGGGTTTACTTTGCTTTGGGTTTACTTTGCTTTAGGTTTACTTATGTTTATCCATTTATCCAACTTCCTCTTCTCATATCTTATTGCACCACTGATATCTTGTTCTGGGAATATTCCTCATTTGAGACATCCCTGACACTGAGAAGAAAGCTGCTGATCTGCTCCTGTCCCCACAAAACAATGACATCTGTATAGTCTGGTACAAAACATCCATATGGTTTAGTAGTTTCTGCAAAAACAAACAGGTCTGTTTAACAGCTGGACAGAATTCTCCAGAATCGGAATAGTTGTAGTCTGATTTCAAACCCATCACACACACACCTTCTTAAAATCATTTCTCAGAGATGGAAGGATGCCGACGTTGCAAACAGCCTGATTTCATATGGAGTACAATTGCACATTTGCACACTTACAAAAGCCATGAATCAATATGCTGGCCACTAATAACCATACCCCATAAACCTCATACAGTATTAAAAATCAAATACTATGGCTGAATTTATGGAGGTTTTGTTATGTTGCCTTCCAACAGCTTTGCTCCCTACAGACATTCTTCATTTCCAACTGACATTACAAAGCCTTCTCTCTCACAGTAACAATCCTGTGAAGTGAACAATAAAATATTTATATGATGCGTCCAAATGGCACCATATTCCCTTTATAGTGCACTACTTTTGACCAGAAAGGGAATAGGGTGCCATTTGGGACCATAGTGTAAAACTGGCCTTTTATTGCAGTGTTTTCCCTAGTTTACAACTCCGGGAATAGGCGGTACGCCAGAACAGATCTTTCCCACAGAGACAGCTAACTAAGAGTGGTGGGTTCTCCTGTGACGTCCAGTCTGATTGACAACCCTGTCCTCCAATCAACTGCCTTCTCCCTGCTGATAACCCAATCCCCTCTCCCTGGCCCGCCCCATCCTCCTCCTTTACTTCCTGGTTATTGGGAAACCCCACCCCCAATCCCAGTAACCCCTCCCTCTCTAATTGCACTTCTGTTTTATCCCTTACTGTACTGTAGGTATCCCTTCCTTCTTTAATCCAGACCCAAACTGCTAAACCCTCCTATTGTAAACCCTCCCGCCATGGACTAGTCTGAGTGCCATGCCATCTCTACTACTTTATGTCTTGTCACATGCTGAAACAGGCTGTCACTCAGGCAAGCCATAGTCTAGGAGGCAAATCTCTGTATTGCCTAACCCTAACCTGCATCTTTACCTTACCAGTATAACCCTTCCTCCTCTAGCCATAGCGCTCAACTTGCTCCTAACTGCCCTTGCTCCTAATTTCCTCTCCTCTTCTGCTCCCAAACCTGCTCCTACTTCTTTTAACTTTGCTCCTAACCTCCTTTCCTCTCCTCTCCTGCTCCTAACCGTAACCTTGCTCCTGTTCTGTCTTCAGGTCGGATGACAGCGACTCCTCTCTCTCGGAGGTGCTCAGGTAGAGATATCTGTCTGTCTCTGTCATTCTGTCTCTTCTCTTGCCTGATTGGCCAGTCACTCAGCTGGCCACTCCTCCTTTTCTGGGGTGGGCAGAGTCGGTGTGGAGCATGCTTTAACCTCATCGGTCCCCCCTCACCTTCCTCCAATCCCTTTCCACTGTGTGGTGTTCTATGTTTATGGTGCCCCTCCCCCCTACTCATTGGATCTGAATGAACCTTTTTCGTCTGGAGAGCTTGGGTTAAATAATAACCCTTTTGGGTGAGGGCAGTTACATTCATTCAAGCTAAGGCTACAGAGGATAATGATTCTGAGAGGATAGCATCTATAAAGCATTGACAGCACACAAATAGACCTTGGTACACTCTTAAAAAATGTTGGTGTAAAAACAACCCAATTGGGGTTTTTTGGTAACCCAGCGCTGGGTAAACATTGGATAGAACACACACTGGGTTATTTTGACCAAGCCAGTTGGGTTGCGTGAATAACCCAACATGTTGGGTTGTTGGGATTACCCAAACATGGGTTAATTGAACCATCAGTTGGGTATTTTTTACCTTCATGCTGGGTTGTCCTAGCAGCTGGGTCTTTTTGAAGCAGGTTAACGTTTTTTCATCATGAGTCTTGTTCTGTCGGCAGCTCTGCAGAGTGGTCACTAGCTGGCACAGCCACAAAGTCATAAAATCTGATTTTAAACCTAAGCCTAAACCTTAACCCTAACCTTAACCACACTGCTAACCCTAATGCCTAAAGGCTTCCACATGCTTTGGTTAGGCTGGCACTGGTGCCTAACCGAATTGAACGAGTGTGCTCACATACACCTTTAAAAGACCTTCGCTTGAAAAACGAGAAAAAAGCGGCAATATTACTGTTTGTCAATTTTGAGATGCCATTGCCAGTATACACTTCCTCAAAATAGTCCGAATGTTTAAATTTTTGCCAAGGAGATCTTAGTTGCGCAATTTTACATCTAACTAAGATGTTTGGTGCAGTATTTCTCAAGTGAAAAATTTGCATGAAAACAAGTTGTCTATTTGAATGACAATAAACACTTCATTGAAGAATCCCTAATGTTGACCATCACCGACGAAGTGGCTTAGACTTCGGATTCCGAACTTCGGCCTGCCTCAATCATTTTGTTTGTGCACGAACAGCTGAAAAAACCCTTGCGAAGGCCAAAACCATCAAAAATATCACAAAATGGCGTCATAATATATGTACGAACTGTTTCGGATGGGAAGCATGCGGACGCCTTAACCCTAATCTTAAATTATAGCCAATGTTGACTTTGCAGCTGGCCCATCTAGCGGAAATCGCTCAGTTTTGCCTCCAGAGCAAGACAATAAACATTAACCTGCCTTTTGCAATGTAATCCTTAGGTAATTTTTTATGGCTTTTTAGGGGTGTGGCTTTCAGATAGATCTTATTGTCCACCCGTTAGAGTAAATGTCATTCCTGTTCATCATGTTAAGTTTACATACTGTAAATAAAAATGTTCCTTCATTTTTTTTGCATTTTACACATTCTTCTAGAATAGTAAGATGATTTATTACATATTATAATAAGGTGGTATCTATCCCAACATTGGCTTTTAGGGAGCTCATATACTCATATACTTCTGTAGGCCTCATTGAAGCTACAGAAATGTCAATGTTTAACCTTCAAATGTGATAACTATACAACAGAACAGATCAACAGGAATGACATCCACTCTCACGGATGGCTAAAAACATCTAGCTGAATGCCACGCCCCTACTAAACTATGCCTAAACTACCGCTTGTAGTGCTTACAACTGTTTTAACTCTCTTTCCCAGACTGTAAAAGTGTAATTGCGTTTCTGCACTGACATATCAATCACTGTTTTTATAACCCTTTTAGAAAGTACAGAATTACATATGGACACGTTGGAATGGTCCTAAAACAGTGGGCTGCACCAACATGAATAATTTAACCCTTATGGGGGTGCTCTAGTTGATATGTTCAGTGGTTATTGCAGTGCCCTGATTTGTTATGGGACCACCCAGCTGCCCTGAGCCGCACAGTTATTTCAACCTATAATAGCCTACCCCTTTCAAACCAAGATGAAAACCCGCCAACTTTAGAATCACACCAACTTTTTGCCGACTTTTCTATTTTGCTGGCAACAAAGCCTGTACTTTTATTTCCGCCAAACGACCTAGTCATAATAGCGGTAATGTGTTTAAAAGTTCCGCCAACCCCTCAGTATAAACATCACCTTTCATTTTACCGGCTTTGGCACGCATTGAATCATAAACATTCTACACATTACATTACACACAAAAACGACATCAGCAGCCTGGAGTTTGACTGTAACCAACGTTTTATTCATCATAACAAGGTAATTATTTGTAAGGAATGGCGAGCTAAAAATAACTTACGATTGAGAATGTGACGAAATAAAAGCAGACAGTCTGTCTGAGAACTTCTTGAAGTATAAAGATCCTATTAAATTACAAGAGGGGCTATCTCATGAACCCTCAAAGTTCCAGAATGGTGTGAAAATGGCAGCCAAATTGGTCAGCGAGAAATCCAAACTAGTCTAATTGGAATGAATGACAGTAGAGGCATAATCCTGATTTTACTTATGCAGGAAAATAAAAGTAATGCATGTGATGTATCAGAAATTGTGTAATAGAATTATTATCAACTTAAAATATTGTCATATAATTAAAGATACAGTTCATACAGGTTTTATACACATTTTCTGTATAAATATCCTCTTAAATATATGTGAACAGAACACAACATCAGGGTCGAAGTTGCCGGCTTCCCACAAGATGTGTATAATACCCTTTACAGACAGACGTTACGGTATATGCTGGCTGTAAAAAATATGTGGTAAAGAAGAATGTGGTAAAAATGGGACTGTTTGAATTGCGTTCTTAAAAACATTTCCAGATTTTTTTTTTAAAGGCAACATATCGTAAAGTCTGTAAGTAAAGGGTGAAAGTCTCCAATAATACAAGTAGATGGAGCGAGAGAGGAAGGAAGGAAGGAAGGAAGGAAGGAAGGAAGGAAGGAAGGAAGGAAGGAAGGAAGGAAGGAAGGAAGGAAGGAGGAAGGAAGGAAGGAAGGAAGGAAGGAAGGAAGGAAGGAGGAAAAGAGGTATGTGGATATTTAGAGCAGAAATCCCTCCAGGCTGTACTTAGCCAGTTGTCACTGTCAACACTCTCTGTCTCTCTCTCTCTCTCTTGCTATGATAATCTAATAGACGTAGAGATTGTAGAGAGAAAGAAATAGACAGGATAGATCAATCTCATTTATCACAGCTCTAATCATCCTACTGACAGTCTTATTACATCTCTCTGGTTTTCATCATATTTATACATAGATAACGGCATTATCATTGACTGATCTCCCTCTAATCTCATTATATGGGAAGCCAGGTTTAGAACATTCATAACCACACAACACACAGGCAGTACCATGCACTGCAATACATTGCGTTGTATTATTTCAGGATAGCAGAAATGTAATAACTTATGTAAGGTGTAATAGCTCATGTTAGGCCCCTGTAATAAGAAAGCAATGTTTTGAAAGGCTTTGATTGTCAAGTCCTCCGTACTCTCCTTGGAACGAGAGATCAGAAAAAGACAGTGATTGATTGGCCAGAGAGTCCACACAACTATCTAAAGAATGGGAATAGTGATAGAAACACTTTTAGAGCCGGTTGGCTAACTTGCGAACGTTCCCCTGCTCTCCCTGGACATAAGGTTCATTCAGAAGACAGCCCACTCCCTCTTATCCAAAAACCCTGTGTCCAATTCCAAACCGACAAGAGATGATTTGGAATTGGGCCGATATACTAGCCCTGTCACACCTAACCTCCATCCTACTTTACCCCCTCCTCTGTGACGAGACAAAGGCCTGGTTCCAATCAACCCCCCCATTCTCTCACTCACTCACCTGTCCCAGAAGCCTCTGCCTTCGCCTGAACACTGAACTGGGATTGGCTCACAAGGGGCAAGGGCAAGGACCACGAGCTAGCTCACTCTTGATTGGTGGAGATGCTGCATGTACTGTAGATATGATGCCACAGGATGATGTTGTGTTGTTGTTTTTGAGTTTGAGTTGGCTGTTGCCGGACTGTCGTTGAGTTCTGCTTCTTCTTTGGTGCCGTGAACTGCCGCCGTTCTCTCGTCATTTGAATGAACTGTACTGTGTTTCTGTAGAATTTGTATTATTTTGGTTGTTTTGTGTTTCAGTTCATTTGCGTTTGTGAGACTATAGCTGACATGCATGCAGCTTCTACTTCTCTCATTACCCTCTCACGTTGTTCTGAGTGTGTGGCTGAGGCTGGTCTAGCAGCCATGCCATGCTGATCACCTGCTTTACCAGCACAAAGCACGCCCCTACATAGGGAGAGAGGGGAAAATATAGCCCTATGGTACAAGGGGAAGAGGACAATGTCTGTGTTTGAGGGGTCCAGGGAGACAGATCTGTCCCAGTTTTGCCTTTAATCACTGGTCCCTTTTTCCCCACACACTCCTGTCACTACCGTCTCTCTCTCTCTCTCTCTCTCTCTCTCTCTCTCTCTCTCTCTCTCTCTCTCTCTCTCTCTCTCTCTCTCTCTCTCTCTCTCTCTGTCAAGTCTCTCTCTCTCATCTGTCTCTCATCGTGTCACCCAGTGTTTACCGTGTCAGTGCTATATGAAACACTCTGGTGACCAATTTTTCTTCCATTCCTCTGTCTCACATGGCCGGCTCCCCTCCGAGCGCTCTGGGACTCTTGTCCTGGCAGCGAGAAATGAAAGAGAGAAAGGAATAAAGGGAGGGAAGGAGAGAGAGAGGGAGCGAGAGAGAGAGGGGGAGGGAGGGCTAGAGAGAGAGAGGAAGAGGCTCGTTATTTTTGAGGGGGGAGAGTTTTTTTCCACTGCCAGCCAGGAGATGGATGGTTTTAGGCCAGGCTCTCTAATTGGGCTTCCAAAAAAGAGAGGGATGGAGAGGAAGGGAATGGGAGGGAGTGGTTATACATGTTTATCTCCAGCAGGGGGCATGATAGAGCTGTGCTCCTTTAGACCTGGCTGGAGTTTCTAACTGTGTGTGTTGCGCATTTGTGTGTTCATTCATTGAGGTGTGGAGCCTAACTTTTCATATTTGATGAAGTGTGTATTGTGTACTTTTGTGTATGAGATGTTATGTATCTGTGTGGGGTTAGTGGTCTGTGTGTTAGTTAGTGTTTTGTGTGTGTGACGGTGTGTGTGTCTGTCAGTGTGTGTGTGTGTGTGTCTAATGATGTGTGTGTGTCTCCATCAGGGGTGTGATCACTTCCACGGGGGGAGTGAAGGGGGGACGGACGGCGCCCCTCCAGTGTTCTGCTGTAGCAGAGGGACACACTAAACCAGTCCTCTGTGTGGATGCTACAGATGAACTGCTCTTCACTGGATCCAAAGGTACAACAACACTGTCCTAACTAGGACCATGGGATGTCTTTGTCTTTGTAAACAAACATAACTTGGTTAAAGCTCTCATTTTAACCTAATGGGCTGTCAGTCCTTGCATCCATCGCTCCAGCACCATCCCTCAGCTTTATAGAGAACCAAGTGGCGGGGCTGCCAGTTTTAGATGTTCATGTTTTTAACCCGTCTCATCTCTCTTGTTTCTCATCAGACCGGACGTGTAAGATGTGGAACCTGGTGACGGGACAGGAAATCGTCACGCTGAAAGGGCACCCCAATAACGTGGTCTCAGTCAAATACTGTTCCTCCTCCTGCCTAGTGTTCTCTGTCTCCACCTCCTACATCAAGGTCTGGGACATACGAGACTCTGCCAAGTGTGTCCGCACCCTGACGTGAGTGGCTCTCTGTATCTTTCCACCAATCACAGCTCACCCTAACCACCCTCACTGATCAATCAGTGCAACTCTGTAACGGTCCAGACATGTTTTACGACCAAGCTGAATGAACCAACGTTTACCAAACCTCGATCTCAATCTCAATTCCAATCTCAATCTCAATATCAATATCTCTCTCTCCCGCTACCCCCCCCCTCTCTCTCTCTCTCTCTCTGTCCCCCCTCTCTACCTCTCCAGGTCTTCAGGCCAGGTGGTATCGGGGGATGCGTGTGCGGGTACCACCCCCCGTACCGTCACGGTGGCGCAGGGTGAATACCAGATCAACCAGATAGCTCTGAACCCCTCTGGCTCTGTCCTCTATGCTGCTTCTGGCAACACCGTACGCACCTGGGACCTCAACAGGTAACAGAAGGACACTTGTTTTTAGCATTCTAACCACTGCTATGCAGCAATGTGTTTTTACAATTGGCATTGATTTAGCTATGTATGTACATACATTAGCTGTGCCTATAAAAGTTGTCTAACAATAAAAAAGGATCTCTCTCTCTCTTTCTCTCTCCCTCTCTCCTCCCTCTGCCCTCCCTCCCTCTCTCTCTCCCTTCTTCCTCTTCTCTCTCTCTCTCTCCCTCCCTCCCTCTCATCTCTCTCTCTAGGATGACAGCATTAGGGAAGCTGACAGGTCATATAGGTTCAGTGATGTGTCTCACTGTAGGTCAGTCTCTACTTGGCAAAGACCAGGTCATCACTGGCTCCAAGGACCACTATGTCAAGGTACTACTGTGCTATGCGCAGTGGCACATACACACACACACACACACACACACACACACACACACACACACACACACACACAAGCATTTCCATTGTACCCCGTTACGCAGGCTACATCCTGGTTCTCTACCCTTCTCTTGAGGTGTGAACTGGCACACTTCCTGTTGTGGATTCCTGTTGGAGTGTACAACAACTTTTTTCTGCTGTTTGGTCATGTTTTCTGACTGCTACTGCTGTCCTGTTTTTGTGGCAGGTGTTTGATGTGGCAGAGGGCATGCTGGGTAATTTAGGCCCTGCCCACAACTTTGAGCCTCCGCACTATGACGGCATCGAGTGTCTGGCCATCCAGGGAGACGTTCTGTTCAGCGCATCACGAGACAACGGCATCAAGAAGTGGGACCTGGAGAACCAAGAACTCACACAGGTACACTCTTAGAAAAAGAGGTGCTATCTAGAACCTAAAAGGGTTCTTTGGCTGTCCCCATATGACAACCCTTTGAAGAACCCTTTTTGGTTCCAGGTAGAACCCTTTCCACAGAATAACCTTTTTTTCTATGAGTGTAGAGAGAGGGAGGGAGGGGAGGGGAGGGAGGGAGGGAGGGAGGGAGGGGGGAGGGGAGGGGAGGGAGGGAGGGCGTGTGTGTGTCACAGCACAGTGTGGCAGCTGAAAAGGGCAGCGATAATTGAATGTCATTGATACCAGTTCTGACAGTATTGGGAAAAGGGAATGTACTGCTACAGTGGATGTGTGTTGATTAATCGTTATCTGTCTACAATGTGGTCAGCCTATAGTGGCAGGAGTGAATCCTGTGATGTAGAAAAGCTGTCATTAATATAGGCCATGTCTTTACCTGCTCAGCTCAAAGGCTACAACCCAATCGATACCCTACTAGGGCCTAAGGCCCATAGTAGTGCACTATATAAGGAATATGATGCCAATTAGGGATGCAGCCAAAGTGTTAGCTCTGAGGGACACGTTAGTACTGTGTCATCCAATTTAAATTTGCCATGAGAGAATAGTCAACATTGTAGAGCAGGGTGGACAAGTATATCGATAGCTACTGAGTAGGAAGGGATGTGTGTGTCTGACCTGGGTTAGAATACTTACGTCTTTGATTATTTGTTATTTAAATAATTTCTGTGTATTTCAGCATTTTCAAATAATGTTTCCAGAATCAACTACTTCTATTGGAAGGTATTTCAAAGTATTTCAAATACTTATTTCCAAATACATTATTTCAATTACCAAACAGACCTGGGTTCAAATGCATTGGATTATTTAAGTAGTTGTATTGGAATATACACTTGTCTGTGTATTTGAGAATTTTTCAATACATGCCAATACTTTCTGAGTGTATTTCCAAATACATTCCCATATTCAACTACTTAATAGTATTTAAACCCAGGTCTGGTTTGTGTGCGTGTAGGCGTGCGTGCGTTCATGTAAGTATCCGGTAATGCTTCTGTGATTTATTTTAAAATAATCTTGAATGGTGAATCATCTTAGTCAAACACACCCACGGTAAGCCTCTGTGGAAAGGATATCTGTACCCAGTTTATCCATAGAGGATCATGTACACTGATACACAGTCAACGTTGGAACTTAAAACACTACTTCTGTGACTGTGTGTGGGTGAAATTGTATATTTAAACTAAACTGAACCTTCCTCTCTCTCCTCTCCCCCTCCACAGCAAATCCCCAACGCCCATAAGGACTGGGTGTGTGCGCTGGCATATGTTCCAGGTCGACCCATGCTGCTGAGTGCGTGTCGGGGAGGCATGCTGAAGGTGTGGAACGTTGATAACTTCACCCCCATAGGAGAGGTCAGGGGTCATGAGAGCCCCATCAACGCCATCTGCACCAACTCACGACACATCTTCACCGCTTCCAGGTAAAACATTACTAAAAACATGGTTATAACCATATTATAACTTATTATGACCTTTCTTCAAGATTATTTTTCACTTAATATCCAGGTATGATGTTACGCCACTGGAAGGGTAAAGTAAATATGGTAGAGTTGGGGGCATTCAGTGGATGTAACTGCACTGTCAGGGGCATATTTCAGAAATCTATTTAAATACATTGGTTATTGTTAGATGATTGTTAATAAACTTGGTGTTTGGCATCACCCTGCTAGAGAGTTTGTCACATGAATGATTTACCTTACTGCAGCAAGGCAATTAGAAAAAGTTACTCCAGAACAGTACATGTTGCTATGATGCTATGACTAACAAGAAAACGTTGTTGAGTACAACACAGAACATTGACTGGTGCATGTGGCATTCATATCCCATGTCAAGGATACATCTTTCTGATTTCACTCAGCCCCACACAGCTAGTCACTGGCTTGGTAGAGCTCAGCTGATGCATGCGACCAGGCGTATCATGGGCATGTGCAGTATGTCTTTCTGTTCCCAGCATTGCATGGAAAACTTTAGCAAAGCTGACATGACCATATGGTACTGTGTGAAATACACATACTACATCACTAGTATTGTAGATTGAGAGGGGTTTGCATGGATCTGCTTCGCACACCCAAGAATCTCTGTCCTCCCTATACCAACCTCTTTTCACCAAGACCTTTCACTTTTCATGCTTAATGCCCTTCCTGATCCATCTGAATACACCTTTACTAAACTAGTACCTCATCTTTATCTTGTACTAACCCACTTTAAACCTCTCCTTTTCCCCTCTCTTCCTTCTCCTACCTCTCTCCTCTCTTTCCCCTTCTGTATTTTGTCGTTCTTTCCCGCCTTTCCTCTCCTCCTCATCCTGCCCTGCCACAGTGACTGCAGGGTGAAGTTATGGAGTTATGTCCCAGGTCTGACCCCCTGTCTACCTCGACGGGTTCTGGCTATCAAGGGTCGCACCACAAGCCTCCCATGAGCCTTCACTCCGACTCACAACCCCGCCTCCGCTCTCCTCTGGTACTTTCACTCATTCGCGTTCCTCTCTTTCTGATTCTCTTCCTCTCTCTGTCCCCTCTCTTCCTCTCTCTGTCCCCTCTCTTCCTTTCTCTGTCCCCTCTCTTCATCTCTCTGTCCCCTCTCTTCCTTCTCTGTCCCCTCTCTCCTCTCTGTCCCCTCTCTTCCTCTCTCTGTCCCCTCTCTTCCTTTCTCTGTCCCCTCTTCCTCTCTCTCTGTCCCCTCTTCCTTTCTCTGTCCCCTCTTCCTTTCTCTGTCCCCTCTCTTCCTCTCTCTCTGTCCCCTCTTCCTCTCTCTGTCCCCTCTCTTCCTTTCTCTGTCCCCCTCTTCCTCTCTCTGTCCCCTCTCTTCCTCTCTCTGTCCCCTCTCTTCCTCTCTTCTGTCCCCTCTCTTCCTTTCTCTGTCCCCTCTTCCTCTTCTCTGTCCCCCTCTCTTATCTCTCTGTCCCCCTCTTCCTCTCTCTCTGTCCCTCTCTTCCTTCTATCCCCTCTCTTCCTCTTTCCTTCTATCCCCTCTCTTCCTCTCTCTTCCCCCTCTCTTCCTCTCTCTGTCCCCTCTTCCTTTCTCTGTCCCCTCTCTTCCTCTCTCTGTCCCCTCTTCCTTTCTCTGTCCCCTCTCTTCCTCTCTCTGTCCCCTCTCTTCTTTCTCTGTCCCCTCTCCTTCCTCTCTCTCTGTCCCCTCTTCCTTTCCTCTCTTCTCTGTCCCCTCTTTCCTTCTCTTCCCCTCTCTTCCCTCTCTTGCCCTCTTCCTTCTCTGTCCCCTCTCTTCTCTCTCTGTCCCCTCTCTTCATCTCTCTCTGTCCCATCTCTTCCTCTCTCTCTGTCCCCTTCCTCTCTTCTGTCCCTTATTCCTCTCTTTGTCCCCCCTCTCTTCTTCCTCTCTCTGTCCCTCTCTCCTCTCTCTTTTCCCTCTCTCTGTCCCTCTCTCTCTCTGTCCCCCTCTTCCTCTCTCTATGTCCCCTCTCTTCCTCTCTCTCTGTCCCCTCCTTTTCTCCTCTCTGTCATCCTCTCTCATCTCTATCCCTCTCTCTGTCCCCTCTCTTCCTTCTCTGTCCCCCTCTCTTCTCTCTTTCTCTGTCCCCTCTCTTCCTCTCTCTTGTTCCCTTCTTCATCTCTCTCTGTCCTCTCTTTCTCTCTCTGTTCCCCTCTCTTCCTCTCTCTCCGCCCCTCTCTCCCTCTCTCTTTCCCCTCTCTTCTCTCTCTCTGTCCCCTCTCTTCCTCTCTCTCTTCCCCTCTCTTCCTTTCTCTGTCCCCTCTCTTCCTCTCTCTGTCCCCTCTCTTCCTCTTGCTAATACCCTTGCTCCAGTGGCGGTCGGTGCCATTTAAGATGAGGGAGGATGATTCTTTTTTTTATGAGCATGGCCTTATTTCTATGACAGCATGTTGGATGACTGTCATTCATATTTCATTCACCCAGCTCAATGTAACATCGATAGGTTTAGGCTACTACATGATACTCTGATTTTCCCTGTACCCATCATGAGGTTGCTACAACCTAGCCTATTAATTAAAGTTTACAAGGTAGAGAATTTTGAGTAATCAAGGTGACAGACAGTGACACATTCAATACCGCCTTGCACACTCTTGCCTGCATCTAGCTCATCTAGGGAGTAATCATTAGTCCAACAGTTGCAAATGTGAATTTCTGTTGGACATATTTAGGTGTTTTTATCCCTGTTTCGTTCCGTTTGCTTCCGTTTAAGAAATGTTTTTCAACAGAATCGGCGGAATGAATACACCCCTGATCACACACAAATGCAGTTCACTTTCATAGTAGCCACATGAAAAACAGTGTGATCACTTTGCTCATTGTATATATAATTCCTTCACACGCTCTCATTCTCTCACCTTTTCCCTTCGCTTGTGGACTTCAGTGTGCAACACATCAGCTGTCCATGACCTGGCAAAAAAAAACTTTACAAGACAAACCTTCATATCATGACCGCTATAACCGCTACACACAGCCTACATCGTTGTCACGTCATAGTCAACATAGCTACTACAATCATGCAGTACAGTGTACAGTCAGAAAGCAGTTTAGCAGTTACACAATAAGAATAATTAACACAATACCATACGTATTTCATAAGGCCTAGTTTTACCCTAATACAGGGGCCTGAAACTCATATACATCACGTTGAACCAAAACCACGCCCACGTTATCATATTTCCCAGCATGCTCTATTGCAGGTACATTTTTTAAATTGTTTGTTAGAATATTTATGTATATATATTTTTAGAATATCTATGTGTGTGCATGTACATTGCTTGACTGATTAATCTCATGCTACACAAAGATAAATAACATACATTTTTCTAAACTAATCCAATACTTACTTTTTTTTTACACCTGTTACTGAAATGTTTGTTCCAGTTTAAATGCCTTAAGTAGTCTCCTTACAATGTTCCCAACCCTGGCACTCATTCTGAATGCAGGTTGCAGGTGAATAAAAATCCCAACTGTTGTATATCCTAACTCTGGCTGACTTCCAATAGGAATTACACATCACTTTGCAAGCCAGTATAATGTGACTTGCAGGCCTGATGTGGCCTGTAAACCATGAGTTTCAAAAATAGGTTTTGATTTGTTCCTAAAGTGGTACAAACACTTGTCACTGTAATGGTACCTTGTAAGGTCATCCTTTGTACCTTTAATTTATAAGTGCATAATTGTAGCCCAGTTCATACCTCAGGCCACATCAGGCCTGCAAGTAGGGTTGCAAAATTCCGGTGACTTTTCCAGAATTCCCAGATTTTACAAAAACCTCTTTGAAAGGATTTTGGATTTCCTGGTTCCGTTTCTAGGAAACTTTCAACCAGGATTTCTGGAGAACCTGGGAATTTTAGGAAAGTTACCAGCATTTTGCAACCCTGCCTGCAAGTCACATTATGAGGAAACTACCTAAGGCAGGGGTCGGCAATGACATACACTACCACACCTACTCATTCAAGGGTTTTTCTTTATTCTTTATGCCAAGAGTGTGCAAAGCTGTCATCAAGGCAAAGGGTGGCTATTTGAAGAATCTCAAATATAACATATATTTTGATTTGTTTAACACTTTTTTTGGTTACTACATGATTCCATATGTGTTATTTCCTAGTTTTGATGTCTTCACTATTATTCTAGAATGTAGAAAATAGTAAAAATAAAGAAAAACCCTTGAATGAGTAGGTGTTCTAAAACATTTGACCTGTAGAGAATGTGATCGTGTCTCAATGTAATCAAGGTATGAACTTATTATTATTTTCAAATATCCAACAGTGTTTCCTGTGTGTTCCTCTGTAGCTCAGTTGGTAGAGCATGGCACTTGCAATGCCAGGATAGTGGGATAGATTCTCGGGACCACCCTTAGGTAAAATGTATGCATTCATGACTAAGTCGATTTGGATACAAGTGTCTGCTAAATGGCATATATGAAATATAATCTATTTTTGGGCTTAGTTGTGGTCATTTTGCTGTGTAATAATTACTTTAATTATGTTCTGGCCCCTACACCATCCACTCGGACAAAAATTGGCCTGCGGCTGAATCTAGTTGCTTACCCCTGGCCTAAGGCATTTAAACTGGAACAAACATTTCAGTAACGGGTGCAAAAATCTAACGAACTGATTGGATTAATTTTGAAAAATGTATGTTATTTATCTTTGTGTAGCATTAGCGTAATCACTCAATGTACATGCACAAATATAGATACTGAAACAAACAATTCAAAACATCTGCCTGCAATAGAGCATGCTGGGAAATATGTTAATGGCACGTCAATCATCCTACTATTTTCCACTAATGCTACAGTAACACAGTGTCTCTGCAACACACCCTAGTGAGCCCAGATAGCAGCCTGATGTTAGGAGGGATTGGGGAGGGAGAGGGGATGTTATCCTGGGTATTAAATTCGACAGCAGTAACTCGGCAGACACAGACACACACACTTAAATATGACAGCAGTTTAGGAGGTAGTGCTCGGCAGGTTGTGAATGGAGAGGAAATTAAGAGTAAATTATCAACTGAGCTGGGAGTTTCTTAACAGGGAAGAAAGAACAGAACAGCAGAGAAGATAAGTTGATTAACTTCATTCTAAGTATTTTACAAACTTCACTTAGAGCTCTGTTGATCAGAGAGAGGGGGGCGGGAAGAGATGAATAGCAGTTAGATGGGGAGAGGAGTGAAGAGAGGGGCAGAGAGAGGAGGAGAGGGAGGGGGTATAAAAGAGGATATATGGTGTTTGAGAGGGGAGAGGAAAAGAGAGAATTATAGAGGAAGAAATAAAGAGGGAAAGAGAGAGCGACAGAAAGAGGGATGAGGGTTGTGATGTTTGCTCTATCTGATGGGAGGTTGTGTGTCACAGAGGAGGATGTTTGATGTCTATTTTGGACCTGATTCCTTTGTGCTCCGTAACTGGTGAAGGAGTAGGGGGTAGCATCTGTGTGTGTCTCATCCTCTTTCTGTGAACTGTAGGTTTTGATGTCTTGTGTGTGAGGCTGTGTGGGAGTCACAATGGAACTGTTTGAAGATGCTGGCAATTGAGTCACTCTTTTCTTCTCTTTCTCTCCTCTCTCTCCGCCTCTTGTTCTTGTTCTTTTCCTTCCCCCTTTTTATTCCTCTGTCTCTCTCTTGGTCCTCCTTCTGCTCTCCTTCCCTCTCTCAATGTTTCTCCCGCTCTCATTCTCTGGGTCCCCCTGGTCCTCTCTCTCTTTTTCTCCCCATTAATCTCCCTACCCCCACTCTATTTCTTTCTCTCTCGATCTCTCTCTCCCCCTCCCTCCCTCTGTCTCTTCCTCCCTCTCTCGCTAGTGATATGACAGTGAAGATCTGGTCAGCAAAGGTGGGGAAGAAGAGGTGACGTTCGGTCGGAGCATTAATGTGACATTATCATCGGCGGCCATCTTTACTGAGGGCCTTCACCCCTGACCTCTGACCCTCTCACCTCAACCAATCAGGTGTGACGCGGCAGGACGTCATGGTTACCAACCATTACCGGGACGACCAAAGTGTGGATGACGTGTCGTCGCAAAGTTTAGTCTCCTCCGGAAAGATCCTTATGAGGAGTGTGTCTTGAACTGAAAGGCAAAACGGGAAGTTTGAGGGTGTTTGCCTTTTCTTGTTTCTACTGCCAATCCAACTGTAAGTGCCATTAAGGTGTGATGTGAATTGGACAAGATAAAACCTTTATTGTGCCAGATAATGTCTGTGTGAGGACAAAAAGCAGCTACTGACTGATTAATCTACTCCTATTTATTATTCATTCAATGAAAACAAGGTCTCCCAGAAGTGAACTAACCCTTGGAGAACACAATTTCTGAGCCAACTAAAGACTATGATGTTTCTATCTTCAGGACTGTCTGTGTTTGATTGTCTACTGGCTGTGATGAACAAACTGGAATTAATTTACAGCAAAGGGGACTGAGAGAGCGAGGTGTTCAGTAACATACAGTGTTGAAACCACTGGACAGTTTGTTGAGAGTTCAGTTCAGCCCTTTGTGATTCCCTGTCTCTTCATCTCTATGGATGGGTTTTAATGTGGCCTCTACTTTGGCTGCAGGCTGCTGAGTCTGCACTGAGAGAGCCTATCACTAATACATCACTACTAACACCAGTCCTGGAGGATCACACACACACACACACACACACACACACACACACACACACACACACACACACACACACACACACACACACACACACACACACACACACACAAACACTGCTGTCTTATCAGGGTGGGAGTGCAGGAATAATAATATTATTCACACACACACACACACACACCACCCCCACCAGGCAGCAGTAGCTCCACAGGTGCCAAAGTTCCAGATCATTATCTCTCCTGTCTTTATGCAGCCTGAGACTGACTACGTCCCAAATGGCACCCTACTTCCTATAAAGTGCACTACTTTTGACCAGGGATTAGGGTGCCCGTTGGGAGTCACCCTCTCTATCACTGAGGCTCTCAACACTTCAATAAGCACCATGAAAATCACCATCTCAACCTCTCCTCTTACCCTGTGAGTCTGATATGCTGTGCAACTCCATTCTGAGCTTATTAGCTGTTGTAACTTCTGCAAACCTGGGATTGAATGACAGGAGGTTGCACCTTAATTGGGCAGGACTGGCTTATGGTAATGGCTGGAGCGGAATCAGTGGAATGGTATCAAATACATCAAACACATGGTTTGATGCCATTCCATTCGTGCAGTTCCAGACATTATTTTGAGCCGTTCTCCCCTCAGTAGCCTCCATTGGTTTAAATACTATTTTTGAGCATTTGCTCTAGCCTGTCTGGAGTGCCAGATGTGCCCTTTTGGGACTATTATATTGGCCCATGAAGCCAGGCAAGCTCAATCAAGCACAGATCATGTATTTGGAATATCAAATAGTATTTGAACCCAGGTCTGAACTGATGATAACTGTAACTGCAGACACCCAGATAGAGCTGAGCTGTCCTAGCTCTAGTTCTGCACTACATATACAGTGGTGGGAGGAATGTAGGGATGGTAATGCTAGCCACTCTAATTGGCTGCTGTGTTAGCAGGTGGTGATGAGATATGCTGCATGATGGGAAAAGTCTGAATAAGTAGGTCAGGACAGAGAAGAGTGTTTGTGCGTCCCAATTGACACCCTATTCCCTACATAGTGCACTACTTTTGACCAGAGTCCTATGGGCCCTTGTCAAACACTATATAGGGAATAGGGTGCCATTTGGGCCGCATCCTTTATAAGATATTTATTTATTCTGTTCAGTAGTTTTAGGGTCTGTGCTGCTGTGTGTGTCAAATTCGCTGCGTGCCCGTTGGGGTAGTGTAGGGGCGACACCTGGCTTCACACACACACACACACATGCTTGTGTATTTTTAGGTTATCCATCTTGCCTGGCAGGGCTTGGCTTCCTTCAGCTCTGAGTTTTACTGTCTGCTGAGTTAAACATATTAGTCTTCTAGCCCTCCCACCCACCCACCCACCCACCCACCCACACACACACACACACACACACACACACACACACACACACACACACACACACACACACACACACACACACACACACACACACACACACACACACACACACACACACACACACACACACACACACACACACACACACAGACAGACAGACAGACAGACAGACAGACAGACAGACAGACAGACAGACAGACAGACAGACAGACAGACAGACAGACAGACAGACAGACAGACAGACAGACAGACAGACAGACAGACAGACAGACAGACAGACAGACAGACAGACAGACAGACAGACAGACAGACAGACAGACAGACAGACAGACAGACAGACAGACAGACAGACAGACAGACAGGACAGACAGACAGACAGACAGACAGACAGACAGACAGACAGACAGACAGACAGACAGACAGACAGACAGACAGACAGACAGACAGACAGACAGACAGACAGACAGACAGACAGACAGACAGACAGACAGACAGACAGACAGACAGACAGACAGACAGACAGACAGACAGACAGACAGACAGACAGACAGACAGACAGACAGACAGACAGACAGACAGACAGACAGACAGACAGACAGACAGACAGACAGACAGACAGACAGACAGACAGACAGACAGACAGACAGACAGACAGACAGACAGACATACACACATACACAACATACATACATACATACATACACTACATACATACATACATACACACACACACATACATACATACACACATACATACATACATACATACATACATACACACATACACACACACACATGCACACACACACTCCTGTGGTTAACCACCATCTCCAGGCACTGGTGATCAGAGAATCTTCCCTCCTTCTAACCCTTTGAGAAGGGGACATTCTAATCAATTCCCACTGATGATGTCACAAAATAGAAATTCTCAAACTCCGTCCCTGAGGATCTGAAATATCTTTAGATGCCTAGTGATCCACTGAGCCATGTGTAATTCACAGCATTTCTTCTCCTGTGAATATATCTCTTTGTTATTGAGTGCACTTTATCTGGTAAAGACTTAGAAATGTGTGTACTGTACTGTGATGAAATGGATTACATTAGAGGAAAGGATTGGTGGTCCGATATAGCAAAAGAAAAGTATCCCAAATGAAATCTACTGCAATGAGAATCTCAATTACTGTATTTGTTCTCATAGATTTGAAGAGCTGTCTTTGAAGACTGAATCGATTTTTGTTTCTCTTACAATACATTTTGATGCTGCTAACTTCATGTAAATAGTTTGATAAAGAGAAACATAAGAAATAAGATAAAGCAATCATGTTATTCTGAGCCTAGGTTTAGGTTTGAGTTGAAGGTAGAGGGAGTGTATACAATACTCCACAGATCCAGTCTTAGAGTCTCTGTATGTAGCCCATAATGTTTACCAAATGCCTTGTTTTTAAAGCCATTTGAACGTTTTTAAGGTACAATCGATGTTCCTTTGTCATAGAGGAATATCTATGTAATCTCTTTAGCCTTTACAACCTCTTTAATAACGTCAAACTATCATGCCTTTTTTGACTCCCTTTATTATTGTAGTCTTTCCTTGTATTTTCCCATTTTCCAAATCCTCTATCATGTCCTTTGGAGAACCAGGCTTAACATGAAGGATGTTGAACACCCACAGCTGTGCCAATCAGCTATAGCTAGCTAACTATGTGGTGCTTTACTCTGCTGACTGTACAGTATCAGCCTTTCTACTCCTTCGCTCAGTGTGTTTCACAGTAGCTGTTAGAGGAAGCTGTGTAGTACTTAAGGTGCTTTAAAGGGGCCTCTGCTTGATCGTACCAGATGCATCGCTATTTACGAACCAACTTTTTAAGAGTGTTTTCCAAACAAGCAAGTAGAGAGTATGTTGTTAGACCAAGTGTCGATACTGATAGGATCGAAAGAAAAGCAGCGCTGCTCTCGGATCAGCTTTCTCCATTCAAATCTTACCTTAACATTATAATTATTCCACAATACTGACAAAGGATCAGCTCCTAGACAGATATGACCAATAATGGGTGCAAATAGGCTATAGAGGCAGTTTATTATGCTTACCCAATAATAATGCACTAAATTACAGATTGAGCACATCATTGCGCACAAGTTGTCACACATCATGAAACACATTGAGGTACAAATTACAGACAGTATCCTAGTCGCAAAATAGAACTCAATTTATTGAACATGAAATGTTTATCGATATGATTTAAATAACCTATATAGGCCCATGTAGGCATGTTTTAATGCAGTCATTTCGGTTTTCATTTTAAGCATAATGTTATCCTCAACTTGTTTGTTAGTAACAATTGCAAATATTTTGGCAACTTTATATTTGTAGTCAAATTCGTTCTGAAGTTATCGTCAGTCACAGTCTGACTGGCTTTTTAAGAGCCACCTTGCTAACGAAGGCTCTGGGAAACACCTTGTCTACTAAAGAAAGTTATAATATGTTCTGATATGTAGGCCTAATCAAACGCTGACCGAGCTGATATGTATAGAGTTCACGCCAGCTCTGTTTCTCTCTATTTCTGCTTTACAGGCAAAGTGGACAGTAACATGTCTCTGGCGGTATCTGTCAACCGGGGTCAAATTCTATACAGGGTCAAAGGTCAGACCAGGTACCTTTTTATTGCACAGGCTCCTCCCCCTACGGACTACTGTAAATGTTTGTACAGATAATGTTGTTTTTCTTTTTCTTACAATGTGCATGTGACCAAATACCATGTAAAATTCCTTGACATTTAAATACTGTAAGTACATTTATTATTTAATGATGGATCAATAAATCGTTCCTTCATTTAAATAAGTACAAAAAAAATTCATCCTTGAATGATATATATATTTTTTGTTAACTTC